AAACAAAATCCTAAGGGCCAAGGAAGGGGTGTGAGCTAAGAAATGCATGGGCTTTCCTGCTTGGCCAATTACCAGCCTTATGATTTCGAGCAATCTCTCCACATCTTTGAAGCTCTGTTTCTTTCAAAGACAGCCCTCCTCCTCCCAGGAGCGCGTGTGTGACAAAACACAGACACACTCAGCATGGCCTCCAGAACTTAGCGGGATTATTCAATGCCAGCTGTCACCAGTAGTGACAAGTTCCAGTTCCGCCTGTTAGAAGCTAGGTGACTTCTTACAGACTCAGTTTCCTTCTTTGTCACCTCAATGTAATGACACCTGCTTTCGCCGTGGTCTAGAAGGCTCCAGAGGCTGTCCCGAGAACCAGCTCTGCATAGACTGGTTTGTTCCGAGCTGGTCCTACGACCCAAGCAGGGCCCATCAGAGTTAAAGAGCACTTGCCCTAGCATTTAATATATGCTCAAAATACTGGGGAAAAGAGCTCCCTGCGGGTGCTGCCACGCTAGTAGAATACGAACTGGGAGTGCCTCGTGGCCCAGCGTTGGGGCACAGCCTGCCTGAACGTGAACCCATCCCAGAGCTGAGGGATGGAGACCAATTCCAGCTCCGCCGTTGAAGCTGTTGGGTCCCGCTGGGCCTTGAGAGCCAATAAAGTGCTTTTTTTTTTTTTTTTTTTTTTTCACTTAAACCAGTTTGAGTTTCGCTCCTCGCTGGAAGAATCCAGATGAAACTTTCATGGCAATGAGAACCGAGACCTGGACAGTGGGAAAGCCACTGGGAGAATGATGGGGGAGCTGTGTGCAAGAGGCACCCCCTGAAGCCCACTGCACATCCGGAGCCTGGAGGGGGCCCCTTTGTGCTCACCGCAGACCCTGGGCAGACCCCTTCCCAAAGAACACAGCTAGAGAAAGACACAGATTTTTCTTTCGCTTTATCATGAATAAAGCCATACAATGGGCGCAAGGAGACAAAGCAGCTGTACAGGAGCGGGTGGGCAAGGGCTTCGATACATTCATATCCAGGGAAGTAGCGCAGATCGGGGTTTACACAGGTGGCAGAGGCTATAGGCACGATGATACAAAATAGAAAGGATATTTCCATCTATATAAATACACAGCCGGGGGGTGGGGAGGAGGCTGGGTTCTTCCGTCTGTCCTGCAGGGGCCGGGGAGGCCAGGAGGCGGAGGCAAAGAGTCTCTTACATTTGTTCTGGATGGCATGACAGAGGGAGGAGAGAAAATGGGGGAACACGGCGTGTGAACACCGATGTGCTCACTCTCATACACAAACCAAACACGGCCACCCAGGAGAGTCTCAACCTGTTTAACACTGACCAGAAACCAAACTTGGGACATCCGTCGGCAAAGACCCCACTGCCAGGAAGAGGCCAGGTGTGGGACGTACATGGAAGTCCTCCAACGGTCTGGACATCAGAGGACAGAGAAGTCAGGAAGGAGCCCATCTGCCAGAGCCCCACCCAGGGGGGCGAGTTGTCCCCAACAACAACACCGTGCCTCGTCCCATCGAGGGCCCTCCTGATTCCTTTCACGGCTGGGTGATATTGAACTGGATGTCCTATTGCCCACCCACTCCCTTTGACGCTAACCCTACATTTCCTAAAGAGATCAGCAAAATATGCACCGTATACCCCTCACGCACACGCGCACACGCACACGCCTACATCCAGCCTTACATTGGCCAGGAGCCCCAGTCCTGGGGCCTGGACCTGGATGAGGCATGGCTCTTGGACTCTGCCTCCAACTTCTCCAAGGACCCTGAGCATGGGGAGATGTAGGGGCCGGAGGGAGCCCCCGGACAGGGCATGGACCTACTTGACCTTCCCAGGGCCTGAAGTTGAGAAGCTCCAAAGAAGCGCGGTAGACCCGGGAGGGAGGGTTGGTGGACAAATGTCCAGGGCATAGATGTTCTGCTTCTAGACACCTCCACACGCCTTGTGTGGCAGGAGGAACCTGCCCGACCCGGACTGGGGCACATCGGAGTATCCTCCCTCCCCTCCTGAGAGCCCCCTTTATAAGGATCACACTTGTCCAGCTGGCTGTGGCTTCTTCTGGCCACCAGGCCCCACCGTCCCTATCCTGCCACTCTCTGATACACAGAGGGATTTCTCAAAACCCAAGGGAGAAGGGGTCCACCAGTTTTCAGAGCTGCTAGGAGAGACTCCAATGAAGAGGGGGATTAGAAGGCCCATCCCAAACCTCGGACACCGCGTACGTGGCCCTCAAGCCGCTGGCTAGGTAAGGAAGCCAGGACACCAAGACTGCTGGGCAGGGGCATTCCAGGAACCCCTGAGGTGGACCCGACAGCTCCTTTCCTTCCTCTCTCCCCTCTGGGGTCACCTCTCCATTGTTCCCGTGCTCTGCCCTCTCCTCCTGGTCTACCTGCATGGAACCCCCCTGCACCTCGTTGGCCCTCTCTCCCCGAATCAGAAAGATGTCACTTCCCTGCCCTCTTCCCTCCAGACACTACGCAGGCCAGCCCCAGGGAGGCCCCGGGCCAGCCTCAGACGCCTGGCTGGAGCACGGGGGCCATGAGCCTGCCTGGCATTTGCACCCCGCCCTGTAACCTGACCCTGCCTCTCGGGTTCCTCCTTGCCAACCTCCCCCGGACCCTGGCCCTGCCAGCCTGTTTTCAAGACCAGACAGCACTCTCCTGGCTGACAGATTCAACAGTAACAGCAAAAAGGGGTGCGGGGGAGGGAGGAGAGAAAAGGTTAGACATTTACACAATAATAACAATAATGATTAAAAGTGCTTTCTCTTAAAGGAAATCTTTGGCAAGAATATACTGCGGTGCTGTGTGTATGTGTGTGTGTGTGTGTGCCCGCGTGCACGCAGGGGTGCACAGACCTAACCTGTGAGACCTGGGAGGGCCACAGTGTCCTCCCAACCAGTGTCTGACCCAAAGGTGGGGCCACTTGGAGACTGGGGTACCCTTCCCTAGCATTCTTCTGGAAACCCACTCCTTCCAGAGGGATGCGAGGGAGTGAGGAGTGAGCTGCTCAGCTTCCCAGGATGCCCTGGTCCTTCCCAGAGTCACAATGGGCTCAGGCCTGAGTGGGGCAGGCTGGCCATGCCTGGGAGGCGGGGGCTGCCGGTGGACAGGAGGAAAGCGTGTGTGAAGGCCCAGGGCTGGCTGCTGAAGGGTCTGCCGCTGCACCAGGCCCCGAGTGAGGAGAGGCCACCCGGACCAGGAGGGACAAGTGCCCAGGGACACGTCCAGCGGGAGATGGAAGATATTTACACAGGAAGTGGGGAGGAAATATCTCCCATCTGGGGAGAGAGCTGGGGTGGGTGGGAAGGAGGAGGGGAGGATTTCTGGGTATCTGGCTTGAATGCCTCAGAAGGAAGAGCACTTGGGAGGAAACTCGGTCACCAAGTACAAGGTTGCAACCTTTAGGAAGCGGGGGCCTGCTCCCCACCGTCAGACACTCTCCTTTCCAACTCCCTGAAAACAGAACATCCACACAGATACAGCTTCTTGGAGGAGCAAAAATGCAAAAGACACACACGTCCCCCATCCACCACACACACCCTTGTCCCGGCAGTCCCACAGGGAGGAGGGCAGCCCCCCTGCCCTCTCTGGGAGCTGACTGCTGTGCCCCGGGCTTGCCAGAAAATAAGGGGGCCAAGGGAATGGAGCAGGTGCCACCACTGAGCCCCTGCTTCCTCCAAGAATAAAGGGCCCTTACATTTCAGACTTCACTTAGACATGAAAAAGGGATGGGAATAGGTTTATGCCCGGGGAGGCAATAAAGCAATATGGGAAAACAATAAATACTTCTCGTCAATTTACCTATTCTTTTTTTTTAACCTTTTCTTATATTTTATTAGCTTACAGATTCTGTCAGTATGTCTCACATATATATTATATATATTTATATATCAGTACAATGCCTCTCTCTAGGGGACCCCATAGGCTTAAGAAGCCCCCCAAGAATGGAGTCCTGGTGAATTTTCCATTCCAGCTTAGAGTCCTTGGGTGGTGGTCTGAGGGGTCCCCAACTGCCCAGATGGCCTCTTGGCCCTCTGACCTCAATGCATCCCTTGGTCCCTCTGTTCCGTGGGCAGCTTGGCTCTGCCAGGGAAACCAAGGCAGGAGGGGGAACAGCAAGGTTGTGGCATGGTAGGCAGGCCATGTGGGATGCAGAGACAGCAGCAACAAAAAATCTGCTAAGGACATCCCGGGCAGTCCGGTAGAAATCAGACCCCAAAACACTCACAGAGGGAGCCATGAGCCCTTCGGGGGCCTCTCCTGGGGCTTGCTGGGCAGGGCTTCTGAAAGCAGGTTCCCCAGGACAAGCTCCAACGTGGGGACCCTGAAGGACAGGGCAGGGCAGGGCAGGAAGGCTCAATCCCCCACACCCAGAAGGGCAACAAGCAGATAAGCAAGTGAGGAAAGGCTGGTCTGGGGCACAAAACCCAAGAACGGGCTGAGGGCTCGGAGCAGTAGGAGCAACCTGGCCAGGCTGCTGCGGGACCACACACGTCCAATCTGTCCAATCCGCTGAGCTCCCAGGCCAAGGCCACCCCTCCTGGTGGCTCTCTTCCCCAAAACTACGCACATGTGTGTCTGCACCTCCCTCCAAAACCAATACTCTGGCCTCCCCTGCCCCGCCGGGGTCTTTGTTGAGAAGGGGCTGACAAGCCCAGGGCCGCGAGAGCACAGGTGCAGGGACCCACAGTGTGTGACCCAGAATCCTGGGGAATGGGGCTTATGTCCCCTCGGGCTGCCCTGTCACCCCCTGCTGTCACCTTCTCTGGACAGGAGGCATATGTGTGTGCAAACACGCGGGGCACAGACAAGGCTAGGTGATACGACCCTGGCTAAGAGGCACATGGAAGTCAGTGTGTGAGGACAAGGGTGTGGTCCCACGACACACACTCTACACACACCCGCACAGACTGCACGGCAGAGGCACAGTCCTGAGACCCCGGGGTACCCCAGGACTCAGAAATTTTCAAAGGCAAAAGTTCGGCCACTTGATGTCCCATGCTGGCTCTATTTGGTTCACCCATTTACCCCAGAGGCAGCCAGAAAAGGATGCTCTCAATCTGATTTCTCCTTGCCAAGCAGTAGGGTTAGGGAGACAGAGCTTTTCCATATACTCCCAAATGACAGATCCCAAGGAGCTGGTCGGTCTCCTCGGAGGAGCCCCATCCTCTCAGAGGGGTGGGGGGAGTCAGGTGGCCCTGGTGGGCAGTGGAGGCTTTGGGGGCTCCACAGTATTCATCTACCCAGGGGAATCCGAGTTATTCTCCTCCATCTTTTTCTTTCTCTCTCTCTCTCTCTCTTTCTCTCTCTCCCCCTTCCCCTCTGCAATTCACTTCCCCCTCCCCACGTTGCACTTTCTTCTCTCCTTCTCCAAAATTGGCCCAAAGTCCTCCTTCTGGATTCAAGGGTGGTCAGGATTCATGGGTCCCCTCCCCACATGCCCCATCCCCACTGCCCTGGCCCCGGGCGAGGGGTGGCGTTCATCTCTTCTGGCCGGCATTCAGCATGACCTTGGAGACGAAGTTGACGATGGCGGAGGCGGGCTGGTTGGGGTCAAGCTCAGCGAAGAGGTGGCAGGCGTTGTCAGTGGTGCTGCCCTGCTTCCGGGCCACGAAGCCGAAGAGCCTGTGGGGGGTGGCGGGGGCAGGAGAGGGGGTGACAGGCGTGAGGAGAGGGTTGGGGGGTGGGGGACACCTGAGACCTGGGAGAGCTGCTGGTGTGAGCAGGCCCATCCTCAGCTCGAAGCCCCTCCCCGGTCGTCCCACCTCCCCCCCTGCACATGGGACGGGAGAGAATCCTCCCTCTCGTCCAGCTCCAGAAAGCCAGGTCCCAGGGATGAGAGTGTCCCTGGTTTCAGGGTAGGCGGTCATTCCCCTTTGAGGAGCAATGGGGGAGGAGGAGCTGGAAGCAAATGAGGAGACTGGACAGCAAGAGGTGGGGAGACCAAAAATAAAACAGGGACATTCCTAGGCAGGCTTCTCTGGCACTTCCCAGCCCCACCCAGCCCAGCCTGTTCTTGCACACAACACAGAAGCACGTGAAGAAAACACAGACGGCCTGTCAGAGTGCTTGGCCTCCTGAGACACCAGGAGAGGATCAGGGAGACAAAAGGACAAGGGGTTGCCACCCCCCTCACACACACACACACACACACACACGCACACACACTTCTCCTTGGCTCAAGAGAATGGGAGGGGATGGGGGACCCCACACCTGTTCCTCCCCACCCCCACTCCCTGCACCAGAGTGACCTGGCATTCTCTCTGCAAAACAGAGTTAAAAATATGAGCAGAGAACAGAATGTGAGCCCAGGTCCCCTCCCAGTCAGCACATTGCTAATTAGAGCGAGATGGGGAAATCAGACAGCTGGAGATTCCGATGGAAACCCCTCTCCCCAGGACTGGACCACAACAGCTAAAATTAGCAAAGTTGGGTCCTGCTTGCCACCACCCGCATGCATAAACACACACACACACACACACACACACACACACACATGCACACGCACACGGACGTAAGACTTCCTACAGCTTTGCTCTCCCCACCTTTGTTTCAGGAGCCTGAAGCAGCTAGGGCCCGAAGTCCAGGATGATGACCTGCCCAAGTGCAAGGGATGCCTGGGTCCATGGCCCAAGCCCCAGCAGCTCCCTTCCAGGCAGCTCAGGCTCCTCGGTGCCCAGGAGGGCAGTAAGGGCGGAGGGAAGGAGTGGCTCCGAGCCACCGCAGGACCTTGAGCCAAGCCTGGCTGCCTGGTTCTGCCAGGGTGGGGAGCCAGCCAACCTCACCAGCCTATACATGGCCCGCCTGCCCTCCTCCCTGCTGTTTATTTCAGCTCCCCCAGCCAGTTCAGTGACTGCCAGGTCCTTTCTCTGCTGGGGGGAATGGATCCAGGCAGGAAACCTCAGCCCCAGGGCAGGGAGGAGCACTTGCAGGAACCTGAGAACACGCCTCCTTAAATCTGGGGCCTCAGGTGCCTGGCATACCTACCCCCACCCCAACGCTGTCCCCTGATGGAGCCAGGCTCTCCTGGGCCTCTGCCCTGCAGAGCAAGGTCACGTCAGCAGGAAGCTCAGCACAAAACCAGCTCCAGAATGAGGAGAACAACTTCTGGGCTTGGGAGCAGCCCACTTCTGTCCCCCACCCATCATCTCCCCATCACGGGGCCCAGTGGTGACCAAGGATGAACTCCTTCAGACACAGAGCTCGGGCCTGCTTGCTTGGATCAGGGACTCGGAGACCCTAACGGTCCTGGGAACTCAGAGAAGCCTAAAGCAGGTGTGAGGCATGCTCTGAGATGGCTGGACACCTGGGTCCTCCTTTCAGCTGGGCCGCCCATTCTTTACATGACCTCGGGCACGTCGAGGTCCTCTCCATCCCACACAGCCCCTCTGAATGCTCCCAAGGGTGTTCATGGAGCTTTCCACTGCTGAGCAAGATTCCCTCCAGACTACAGGATTCACAGAGGCTCACCCAAAGAGTGAGAATGGAAATCAAGGAAGCCAGAATTTGGGCAGAAAGACCATTCGAACAACCCCCTGCCCCGTGGCCACAGCCTCCAATATGTTTCCAGCTCTCTGTCCACTTCCCCAGCTCCCTGACAGTCTGGTCCTAGGAGAGGCAAGGTGACAAGACTAGCTCCAGCCTCAAGAAAGGAGAAAGCAAAAGTCCTTGCTGCTTGGCCAAGCTTTTCTCCCGAGTGACTGACCCCAGCACAAAGGCCTCTGTCACCCTTCGACTACCCCCGGCCCCAGATTCTAGGCCTCCCCCAGGAGCAGCCCGCTGGGGCAGTGGAGAAGGCACTTACTTAGCGGGGACACCTCCTTCTGTTTTCATCCACCTGTGGAAAGAAACACAGCATCTCATAAAACACTACACCTTTTCACCCCCCAGAACCCGGCCCCTCACATGACGAGGCCTCCCGGGGGAAGGCAAGGGAGACCCCATTCCAGGTGGATGGGGGCCTCCAAAGATCAAGCAGGGGGAGGCACTGAGGGTGAAGAGAACACCGCAGCCTGTCTCCCAAGGAGCTCTCTGGTATGCAGAGGAGAAGCAGATTCAAGGTCAAGGATATGGCAGAGGGCATGGAAGCAATCATCTGAGTCCCTGGGAGGGTCTCCAAATGTGTGGTGGGAAAAACTCAGATAGCTACTCAACACAATTACTCACAGTCTCACAGACACAGGCAGACCTTCAAGCTGAACCAAGAATATTCACCCTCAGCCACACGTGCACACACTTGCACACATGGAGACTCCAGTGTTCTAAAAGTGTGCAGAAGGGAAGGTGTCTGCAGAAGACTTACTTTCTCTCCTGAGGATCCAGGTCACAGAAGGTGACAGTGTTGAGTGGGTAGTGTCGCCTGAAGAAGAGCCTGAGGTACAGATACCAGGTAAACAGAGAATGAGCGTGGAAGTGACCACTCTCTTCCAACCTCCCCCTGCGGGTCAGGCCACCACCTGTGGCTGTCATGGACTGGCCCAGCCTCCACCTTATACGCAAGATGGCCTGGGCCACTCGTAGAAGCGATGCCCAGGGACAAACAGATGCGTCACTGAAACATGTCCCAAACGCTAGTAAGTGGGAAAAGAAGGAAGAAATTGGTATTGAAGAAGGAGAAAATGAGCAGACCCTGGAGGAGGAAGGAAAGAAGTAGGAGGGAGAGTCTGAGAGGAAAGGCTCTGCTCTAGAAAGCAGGCACTTTTGTCAGTTGTATTTATGGCTGTGTGCTCAATCCAGGCACAACTGTAGTAGGAAAGATGGAAGGAAGGAAGGATGGATGGATGGATGGAAGGATGGATGGATGTATGGAAGGGTGGGTGGATGGACGGGTGGATGGAAGGAAGGATGGATGGATGGACGGACAGAAGGAAGAATGGATGGATGGATGGATGGATGGATGGAATGGTGGGTGGGTGGGTGGATGTATGGAAGGGTGGGTGGGTGGATGGGTGGATGGAAGGAAGGATGGATGGATGGATGGATGGATGGACAGAAGGAAGAATGGATGGATGGATGGATGGATGGATGGATGGATGGATGGATGGATGGAATGGTGGGTGGGTGGGTGGGTGGATGGGTGGATAGAAGGAAGGATGGATGGATGGACGGACAGAAGGAAGAATGGATGGATGGATGGATGGATGGATGGATGGATGGATGGATGGAATGGTGGGTGGGTGGGTGGATGGATGGATGGATGGATGGACGGACAGAAGGAAGGATGGATGGATGGATGGATGGATGGATGGATGGAAGGAAGGATGGATGGATGGGTGGGTGGGTGGATGGATGTATGGAAGGGTGGGTGGGTGGATGGGTGGATGGAAGGAAGGATGGATGGATGGATGGATGGATGGATGGATGGATGGAATGGTGGGTGGGTGGGTGGGTGGATGGATGGATGGATGGATGGAAGGAAGGATGGATGCATGGATGGATAGAGATAGAAATGGATGATGGGATCAATGGGTGGGCGAGGATAAATGGAGGATGAATGGATGCAGGAATGAGCGAATCAACTGGTGAGTGGATGAGTAACCGGACAGATGGGTGGGTGGGTGGGTAGAAGAGTGGATAGGTGGCTAGATGAGCTGGCAGGAGGCTGGATGGATGCATGGATGGGCAGGTGGATGGGTGAGCAGCTGAGTACAAGGAACAAATGGTAAGCGTGTGGGTAAGTAGATGGATAGACGGTCACCCGGACAGAGCCCGACATGGAAGCAAGTAGAAGAGGCTTACTTTCTCTGGTTGTCAGTCAATGTGATTCCCTGGGCAGAAACTTTGAAGTGAACGATGGTGGCAGCTGGTGTGGGGTCAGCAGCCAGCGTCTCAGAAGTGGCTTTGGAAATGGCCTGTGGCCCAGTGAGCGACTCCATATCCACGGAGTTGACGAACAGCACGTTGCAGGCTGGAATAAGCCCACCCAGAGAGGAGTTAGTGGGGCCACAATGGGGTGGGGGTGGAGGGATGACACACCACGTCAACTCTTTGGGGAGAAGGAGCGGATGAATTCTAGGCCAGGCCCCCAGCCAGGCATCTGCACAGACATGTGGACTGCCCGGCGATATTCGGGTCTGAGGGAGGGACAGGGCAGGCCAGAGGAGAGGGGAGGAGCCTGCGCGGGGACCCAGGCTGGGGCAGCCACTCACCTGCCCCTTGCTTCAGCAGATCAGTGGTGGAGTTGGCAGGGCCCGAGCTAGCTTTCGACTCATCTGTGGGGTCTGAAACAAAAATTTAATTCAGCCAGTAATTAAAACTCAAGAGCTGGAAAGCAGCACGCGTCTGGTTGAGCCTCAGGCAAGCTCTGCAAATACTTTGTGCAACGGATACCGCTTTTCATAACAGGCCCTGGCAGGTGGCACGTGTGTGTCCAGTCGGAACATTCCAACAGTGATGGCAAGTGTGCCGCATGCAGGGGGAGCGCTCTGGAGTCCAACAGTGTGGGGTTCAGACTCTCGCCCCAGCATCTGCCAAGGAGCTATAACACAGAGATGCGATTATACCCATTTTGCTGGGTTTTTGAGATGTTCCACGCACAGGGGGAGCCTAGTGCTTGGCATAAAGCAGGTCTTTGAGTGGCAATGGATGTTGCTCTTGTCATTGCCCATGGGTATGTCTTTGTGTAGCTCCATGAGGGCCCTAAGCCATCAAGCCCTTACTGCGACACAACTATAATTTCAATATTAATAAGAACTGAGTATTGTCAGTTCTTATTGACACGCCAGACTCTGGTGTGCAGGCTTACGAAAACCCAGATGGCCGAGCCCCACCCCCGAGGAGTTCCTGAGTAGGTGGGGTCTGAGAGTATTTGCATTTTTAACAAGTTCCCAGGACGGCCAACCCCGTGGGTCTGGGTACCATACTTTGCAAAGCGCTGTTTTCTACAATGTAAATATCAAACAGTTTTATAATTGCTCAACTACTTTCATAAATTTCATAGAACTGTAATTTAGTTGGTGTCCAAAATGCAGGGTTAATAATGCTACTTAAGTTGTATTTGAACCTTTAAACCAATAATGTTGGTCAAGTATCATTAATAATTCAATGAATTGAGTTGGAGACATTGAAAATATCAAATAATACTGGGGGTTTTGTGTGTGGGCATAACCGCAGGAACTCTGAGAGAAACTGGAAGAAATTCCCAGAGACACTTCTAAATATCCTAGTTTTGAACAGAGGATGGGGAGAAGGGACTCAGTCTCTAGTTCCTAGACCTCGAGGCCAAGGCCAAGCACAATCCCCCACGCATGGCCCTTGTATGTGGGGCCGGGTGGCAGAACCCCATCCCATGTCTGTCCTGGATGTCTGTCCGCCCTCCTCCAAAGCTGAAACACTTCTCTGACAAGGGCTAAACTCTCCTTTGCTGGGCCCATGGTCCCACTCAGATTCTCACCTATAAATTCCAAGGCTCTCGGGTTCCATTTATACTTCCCACAACCAACAAGCCTTGCTCTTCCCATCAGTTCGGCAACCCCTCAGTCAGAGAACACCCTCACAGCCGAGCAGACTGGAAACTCCAAGGACATCTTGGCCTCGTTTCCTTCGCACGCCAGGCAGAGCCTGGCCACCTCTTCCTCCGACCGCACTCCCTCCTCTTCGCTCATGCCAACCTCCAACCCCCGGGGAACGTCCCCCACCACATAAATCCTCCTTCCCCTCCCCCTCCCCTCAGCCCCGTCCACCAATGCCCATCTCAGCCTCTACACTTTCCTCCCCCTGACTGTTTCCTACTTCTAGTGCCTCCCCTGGGCTTATTCTGAAGATTCGTGAAAGAATTCCTTAAAGCCACCAGAGAATTTTCCAGAACAATCTGGCAAGTCAATTATGTGTGTTCCTGGAGTTAAGTTTTTTAAAGAACTTTTCCTTCTTTTGTATTGGGTGGGGGTGGGGGTAAGGAGAGAAGTTTTGAATTTCCCCAGACTGGCAAAATGACCTATGTCCTCCAACCCTGGCTTGTGTTCTGGAGCAGCTGGCAGAGCGGACACAAGAAGGAGGCCAGCTTGGAGATGTACTTGGAGAGCAAGGAGTCTCACGTTCCTACCTCGGTTTGGAATGACCAGCTTACAGGGCAGAGCCAGTGGGATGATGGAATGCTGGTAGACGAGGGCAGAGAGAGACCCTGTGGGAGGAGATAGCACGTCAGGACCAGTGTCCCTGGGAGCGGGCCAGGGCGCTGGGGAGCCCAGACACCCCACCCCATTATCCACAATCTCTGGCTTCTTTATCACCTCTCCCTCAGTCCAACAATGAAGCTGAAAACCCACCCCCTTCTTGTTAGCAAGATCTAAGGGAGAAGTTTCCAGAGGTTCCCTCTAGCTGCCACAAAGGTCCTTTCCAGAAAATTCCTCCCAACATCTTTCTTCAGTCCTTCCAGCTGCTGGGGCCCCTCTCAGGACAGTGCAGCAGAGGTAGCAGAGAATCATGGGATGAAATCCCGGCTCAGTCACTTATCAGCTCTGTGTTCCTGGCCTCTGTGAACCTCATGTGGGAAATGGGGCCATAACACTTCCCAGGCAGAACTGTGAGGAGACCAGAAGTAATAAAAGGTTCCCAGACGGTGACTTTCACATCGTAGGGGGCCATCTGTGGTTATTCAAATTCCAATGATCAAGCTTTTCAGGCAGTGGGACAAATATGAAAAGGCCTGTGGCTAAGCAAAGCAGCCACGGTACAGAGGACGAGCGCCACTGGTCCCTGCACCCATGACAAGAGGGACCAGGGACCACCTGAGACTCTGCAGGCAGGCTATGGAAGCGGGGGAGAGCTCACCAAAGTTTGGCTCATTGGGGCACCCCTTGAGCTTGACTCCTCTGGGGCCGGTCTCGATCAGGAAATGTCTCACCAGCTCATGGGTCATGTCCCCTGGGATGAAAAGAGAGGAGGATAGAGCACTTTTCGTGGCACCCTCCCTCCACCTGCCAATGGCACTCCATCACTTCTCCCCACTGCGGCTCTGGGAGGGGAGCAAGGCTGGGATGGGTAGTACGGCCGGAACCCCAGAATGGAGAGACCACCACTCAGGCAAATACAACCACAGGGTCCCCATAATCCTGCTCCCCTGTGCTCTGACCCCAGCCATCACCAGACCCAGGATTTGCCCTCCTGAAGAGTCTGACTCAGCAGGGATTGGGCCCCTGCTACTCTTGGGGTCCTCAGGCACCTTAGTCTCCAAGGACACAGGACTGACGACTATGTTGTCCAGAAGCCCTGTTCGAGGAGGGGGAGCTACCTTTTTTATTCTGCTGCATGATGGTCGGAGGGGGAGAAGACACCTTCATGGCCAGCCCGTAGGCCCCTCGGAAGGAGTGGCTGTCGCGGATGATGAAGGCCCCTGGCTCCTGGTCCTTGAGGAGTGCGATGGCTGGGATGGGAAGGAGATGAGGAGAGAAGGGGGAGAGGACAGAGATGGCCGTGATCTTAGTTGTGACTCGAGGCCTATTGAACCTCATTCTTTAGAACTGAAAGTTCAGAAGGGTCCTCCTCTGCTACAGGAGACAAGTGTCTTCTATGAAAAGCCAGGTATAGATATTCCAGGCTTAGCAGGGAGTGCAGCCCCTGCTACAAGCACAGGGCCACCACGGCCACCCGACAGCAGCCACACACAATACGGAAGCCAGCCAACACGGTGCGTTCCCCTAAACTACAGTTAAACGAACAGGCAACAGTCCAGTTCGAACCTGTCGCCAACACCTGCCTGCCTGGGGAGCCTGAAGTGGGCCTAATCCCCAGCCCCACTATCCCAAGTTTGCTCTTTCTGTAAAACATGCACAAATCTTCCACCTTGTGTAGACACGGGGCTGAGATCTGCTATTACGTTAGCTGGCCTTTTACTTTACTTGGAAAACCCAGACTTCGCTGATTTTAAGGACCCTTCATGGGTCTACAAACCCTGCCTCTGCAGTACCCCCACACTTCACCGTGGGGACGTGCCTCTTACTGTCTGGCCTGTGACTGCCACGTGTGACAAAAAGGAGGAAGTCTGCTTGTGTTCCGTGCCCAAGGAAGACACGGTGGGCGGCGGGCAGCAGTGACCTCCAATGGACCACAGGACCCTCGTGCCACCCGGGACTCACCCTGCTCTCTGGAGATCTCAGGCTTGTACCAATACTTGGAAGTGTCCTGAACAAACTTCACTTTAGCCCGTGTCTCAGGGCTGTTGTCTACGAGAGAGGAAGAGAGAGAAACAGCGTTAGGGGTTGAACTGTAGCCCCCAAGAAGGTCTGTTGGAGCTCTAAGTCCGGGTACCTGTGAATATGACCTTATTCGGAAATAGGGTCTCTGCAGATGTCATTCAGGTAAGGTGAGGTCGTGCTGGGTGAAAGGGGCCCCAATGCCGTAAGACTTATGTCCTTATCAGAAGAGGGGAAGACACAGAGACACGTGGGGAGGGTCATGGAGACGGAGGCAAAGACCAAAGGGTGTATCTATAAGCCAAGGGACACCAGGGATTGCCAGCCACCATGAGAAGCTAAGAGGAGTCCTGGAGCAGAATTTCCCTCGAGCCTCCAAAAGGAACCAAACCTTCGAAAACCTTGACTTTGGACTTCTAGCCTCTAGCCTGGGAAGGATTAAATTCTGTCGTCTCAAGTGACCAGGTATCATGGTGGTCACAGAAAACTAGCACAGGAAGGCAGTGTCCTCACTGCTAGAGGGGACCTTGAGCAGCCTGCCCATCCTTCCCCTCTCCTGCCAACTGTCATGCATCATGAAGCTGCTCTCCTGTCCTAGAGCCTGGCACAGCATTCTCCCCGAGCTGAGGAAAGGCCTCCTCCACTCCATCCCATCCTTTCTCCAGAAGATTTGGACTAAACCCTTCCTGCAGCTTCTCTCCCACAGGCTAAGGCATCCCACCTTTTGGCCTCTTTCTCCACAAGATGGACTTCCCAATTGTGTCATAACCACCGCAAAGATGAGAGAAGAAAAAGACATTCCCATCACTTCTTCCCCAGCCTCCCCAACCCCTCATGCCCTATATGGACAGCCCGTGTTCTGCATCACAAACAAATTCAGCCCTGCCCTGGAACAGAGGAGGATCTGCCCTGGAACAGAGGAGGGGGTGGCCTAGAGGTTATCTACTGTGCGTCATATACCTACCCCACTGACCTGGCAAATGGCCCTCACTCAGACCCTCCACAGACTAGAGACGCTTTATGGAGCATTTAGATTCTGAAAGATGCTCAGAGAGCATCGAGTCTGACCACTTAACTTTACAAATGAGGGAAGTGAGGCTCAGAGAGCAAGAGGGACCTGCCCAAATCACACAGCTGGTTCTCAGAAAGGCTCCTGTAAGTCCTTCCCAGGTAAGGAAACACAGCCTCCAATGTGTGGTCCTCACTCTCCAAGCAACTCCTTCATGTTTTGGCACCAAAGAAACAAATGGGGGGCTGGAGGAAGAGGGAGAAAGGAAGATTCCAATTGCATATGTGTTTTTGCTCTCCTTTCTTGGAAGAGAAGCTGGCACAGAGGGAGCCTGTGCTGATGATGCTGGGAAGCTGATGGTGAGGACCGAGCCACGAGTTAGACTGTGTGTCCAACGCTCAGTTCATTTCGACTTGTCAGTTACACTGTGCTCGACCCCTGGGACCGGCCTCCGGAGGACAGCGAGGGGGTAGGCCAGCTCCCTTTCCTGGCAGCTGTGCGTGGAGGGGGGTGCTCGGGGCTAGGCATCTGGGCCACAAGGGCTGCCTGCTGCCTCTCTCTCTCTCTGCTCAGAAGGCCCAGGCCCCCACTGCTGCTGGGGCCTAATGAGCTGTCAGAGGCGGCTGGAGCCCCATGTGCCTTCCTGTGTTGACTCCAATGGCTATTTTAAGCAGGGAAGATGGTGGGAAACAGGAAATGTCCCAACTACTAGAAGTTTTCCATCCTCCAAGAAGAGGGGCTGGGAACCAGATGTCCCTGGTGGGCAGCAGGAAGCAGGGGTGTGCAAGGTCCTTGTAGGTGTCCCGAGTTGGCAGGCTCAGGGCAGGACCCGGGAGAGTCACACTGAGCATCAAGGCAGCTGGGGCCCATCCTGGGCTGCCGGAAACTGTCTAAATCATCCTCGAATGCCCCAGAACCCCGGGGCCACTCTGCAACAGTCATGTTCCAGGACTGGCTGAGAGCTGCAGATCAGCTGAGGCCTACCTTTGTGTTTAATAATGATCCCTCTCTACAGAGGAGAAAAATGCCTAGTTCTGGTGATGAGTGACGAATTCAGTGCGTGAACACACAGGGGCTTCTGCAAAGCCGGGACGGTAGAAACCAGACTCCGGCAAACGTGCCCAACCCCTGGCCTCGGCCCACAGGGCAGCTGGCTGCTTGATCCATTATTAGTAACATGCACACAGGGGGATCAAAAGGTGGGGACAGAGTGCTGTGAGTGACCAAACGTAGGTGGCCCACGTTGGGAAGGCAGATTTTCAAGGGAAGGCTAAACCACAAGTATGGAAACATGATCATTCAACTACAATCACGCTTTAAGGGCACAAACTTTAGGGTATGCGGGCCCAGATCAGAAATCATTTATCAAGTGTGTAACCCTGGATGAATGACTGAGCCTCCCTAAGCCTCGGTTTGCTCCTGCATAAAATGGGGGTTGTAAGGGGGGCACCTGGATGGCTCAGTGGGTTAAGCATCTGCCTTCGGCTCAGGTCATGATCTCAGGGTCATGAGATCGGGACCCACATTGGGATCTGTGATCAGCAGGAAGCCTGCTTCTCCCTCTCCCTCTGTCCCTTCCCCTGCTTGTGTTCTCTCTCTCTTAAACAAATAGTAAAAATCTATAAAATTTAAAAATAAAATAAAATTAAATTAAAAATAAAACAAAACAAAACAAAATAAAATAAGGGCAAGAAATACCTACTGTGCCATGCAGCCGTGAAGACTAAGGAGCCCATGAGTGGCTCAGAGCCTGGCACACAGCACGTGCTCAACAGGTGACAGAAGCCAGGCTGGGGGAGAGGATCATCGTTCACGGTAATGTCACCATTATTACTCTCCTCCTCATCATCATCCTTGTGGGCACCCACGTCCTCATCACACAATCCACACCCAGCACACTTACTCTGAGGACAGCTCAACTCCCATTGTACAGACAAGGAGACTGAGCCCCAGAAGTCAGTGATCTGCTCAAGGTCATGTGCCAAAAAGACGTCAGAACAGAGGCGGAGACAGATACCTGAACCGACAGACAACCCGTCACAGTAGAGGCAGGGGCGGCAGGAGGGGCTCACCTGGCATGGAGTACTTGGAGAAGTCGGGCAGCGTGTGGGAGAAAGAGACAGTGCTGCCCCCGCTGGGACTGGACATGCCGCTGGCCACAGGCGAGGAGGACACCTTCCCGTTGACGGTGGCATAGTTGGGGAGGCTGCCCGCACGGTCTCCCACGGACATCCTCCGCTTTTCCGGCAAGGCTGGTGTGGGGCTCCCTTGACGGAAAGCTGCTGAATCCGGCGACGGGGAGGTGGCAGGGCTGCTCAGGCCCGGGTAGTAGGCAGGGGACACGGGGAAGGAGGGCGTGGAGGGAGCCTGGTAGCCAGAGGCACTGCTCTGCCGGGACAGTGTGGGTCTTGGGTCCTCGGGGGTGGAGTGACCACCGTAGGCCACGTGCCGGTCCAGGCTAGGGCTGCCGGGAACCACAGATCCAGACCCTCCCAGGTGCCGGCCCATGCTGGGGCTTCCCGGGCTGGCTATCGTGTTGCCATGGAGACCAGGAGCCAGGCTGCTTTGGTGGGCCCCGGGGTGCCGGCCCAGACTGGGGCTTCCCGGAGTCGTGGCCATACCACCATGGAGGCCAGGAACCTGGTGGGCCCCGGGATGCCGGCCCAGGCTGGGGCTTCCCGGAGTGGTCGCTGCACTACCCTGGGGGCTGGAGACGGTGCTGCCATGGAAACCAGTTCCTGCTGGACCCATCACCTGGCGGTGGCTCAGACTGGGACTACCAGGGGCTGCCAGGCTGGGGTTGATGGCCCGGCGGCCAAAGCCAGGACTGGGGGGGGTGTTGGTGCCCACTGTCCTGTGGCGTGCCTGAGGGCTCCCAGGCACCGTGTGGACGCCGGCCACAGCGAACTGAGACCGCGCCTGGCCTTCCGGGGAGCCAAACTGCTGAAGGGAGTAGTCGGGGCCGCCGTAGCTGCTGCCCACAGGCGGGAGAGGAGAAGAGCTCTGGTAGTTTCTCTGAGCCGAAGGGCTGGGCTGGCCCAGGCTCCCGGGACGGAAGCCCGAATCCAGCAGAGGCTGGGTGGGTGTCCGGGGGCCCTGGTCACTGCTTTCCCCAGACGGGAAACTCCCCACCGAAGTGCTAGAGAGAGAGGAGGCCAAGTGAGATGTCAAGGTGAAGAACAAGCTCTCCGCAGCCCACCCTCCCACCACCAGCAATGATAAGAGTTCTACTGGCATGTGTGCCAAAACGTCATGACTTTTGCACATCACCCTATGGAAGCAGCAGAAGAAGAGACAGAGGCTCAGAGAGGTGAAGCACTGAGCTCATGACCACACAGTAAAAGACCAGGGTTCCAGCTCAACTGCATCTGATTTCAAAGCCCATGTTTCCCCCACTGCCCCCGTTGACTCCTAAACAGCAAGTCAAAATGAGGGGGTCTCCCTAGGGACACTGAAGATAGCTGTCCTCATGTCAACTCCAATATCACCAAAACTGAACACCAGGGAGGGGTCAACCCACCTTGCTCCTGTTCCTGCTGGGAGCATCCCCACCTGGACTCACTTTTCCCAGAATACTATGATCGTCTTCAGACACAGAGAGTGCTGGAATTGGGCTTTCATTCCTGGTTAGCTCCAGAAGGCAAAGACAACAAGTCTCACAGAAGCAGATTTCAGCCTATTGCAAGGTCTGCTTTCCGGCCATTGGATCTGGCCCCTAATTCAGCAAGCTGCCTTGCATGGTAATGAGACTCCCATGGTTAGCAGTATTTAAGCAGAAGCTGATCGCTTCTTGACCTGAATGTTGCAGGGGTTGGGGGGGGAGATCTTCTCTATTGGGGAGGTTAGATTAGATGAACTCAGAGGTCGCTCCCCATTCGAAGATTCCAATAAAATTCATTTCAGAGGGGGCTGGCCCTGGGGGAATGGCCACAATCATAGATTCTCCTCTGAAGTTTTGTGCAACTATCACTATCTGTACAGCAGGGCAAAGCAACGGCCGCCGGCTGGGAAACCTAGGTTCTGAAAAACCTGGTTAACTTTTCTCACATGGCAAAAAAGGGGGCTGAGTTAGATAACCCTGATTCCTTCCAGACCCAAAGTCCTACCCCTTGATGATATGGTAGGAGAGGCAAAGGTTGACAGGGACCCTGTCTGAGCTATGGGGCTGCAGGGCGGTAGCAGGCGGGGTCTGCAGCAGGAGCCCCTGGACAGGGGCCAGGGGTTGGGGGAGCAGTCCTTACACAAGATGATGGGTCGAAGTCTGGAGCTACAGACTGGAAGGAGTCTCGAGGCCAGGATGGATAAGCTCAGGTCCCCGGGGGGACCTGGGGTGGTGGGTCACGAAAGAGCCAAGGGCAAGAAGCAGGTCACGGGCCAGGCCAAGAAAAAGTCTACCTCGAATCCCAGAAGGAGCTAGAGTGGAATGCCATTCCTGGGACAGAATAACACGGACTCTGAGGAATGGAAGGATGCGTCAAGCTGAGCAGGGCGGGGTGAGGGCCACTGACTAACCCCACAGCAGAACCGCTAGCTTTCTGAGCCCTGAAAAGAGCCAACTCTACAGCAGGAGGAATCTGAGTGAGAATCAGTGAAGACATCCTAATGTCAGGGCACCCTGAACAGGAGCCGTGGTGGCTGGCTAGGTTAGGAAAATCCCCTTTCCTTTAAAGGAAGAATTCACCTTCTGCCCAGAAGCACACTTGCCGAGAAATGGAGCCGTCTGCCCTGTGCAGAGGCTGGAGAGGGGACGAGATGGACCGGGGTGCTTGCTCGGCTTGAGGTTCTCAATTCTCAGAACACAGGAGAACACAGCCTCTGCCCCCCCCGGGCCACCCCACCCTGACCTGGAGGGGCACACTGCACCAGGCCAAGGTAGGGCATAGGGCACACAGCAAACTCAGCACCAGGCCTGGCCTGTGACAACAGGAGAGGGTGGCTGGAGAGCTTCTGGGCCCCATGGAAGGCCAATGCAGGAAAGGGGGTGGACACGCAGAGGGACGCCTAGCAGTCTCCCCTCCTGGAGGAGAGCTCTGGTCGGGGCAGGCGAGCCCAGTCAGCACCCCCAGGCCTGGCACTCTATGGCAGGGCTGATCTTAAGCTCCCTCTCCCATGTCAGATCCCGTTCTCCCTGTCACAAAGCCTACAGCCCACTCCCCCTGCAGTCCACACACGGGGGCCTCCCTCTTCACAGCCCTTCCCAGACTGATTCCAGGCTCTCCTCTCTGTCTGACCCACTGAGAATGCCAGCTGTCCATCCACCTTCCCACCTGCAAGTGCATGCCCTCAGCCCCACGCACCAATACATCCACACCCCAGCCCTCTGCCCTGGCTGTGCTGTTCCTTCTAGAATGCCCGTTCCCTCCTCCTCCTCCACCTTTCCGCAACTGCTCATCCTTCTAGCCTCACCACCGATAACTCCAGCCCCCAGAAACTCTCTCTGCATCCCTAGCCAGAAATAGCGGCCCCTCGCTGGGAGCTCCAAGCCCTTATATGTCTGCTCTGGGCACATCTATCACCCTGGGACAGGCAGGCACAGAGACGCAGGCCCAGGCGAGAAGAGAGACAGGGGCTCTAGAACCAGACGCCTTTGGTCCGAATCCTATTTCTGCTACTGTTTAGCTGCAGGACCTTGAGCAAGCTACGTGGCTTCCCTATGCCTCAGTTTCATCTTCTAAAAAATGGGATCATAAGAGTACTTACTGCTCAGGATTGCTGAGAGGACTAAATAAAATAACCGGATAAAGCATTTTGGCACACCAGAAGTACTCGCTACAGAGTGATTGCTGTTGGCTAAGTTTTGAACTTGGGGGAAGGACTGGTTCCCCACGGTGGCCCTCATTCCTTCCAGCACAGTTCTGGACAGTGGGATCAAATTCAGCCTTGGAATTATAGTTCATCCACGCTCAGGCTCCCCATGGGCTTTGGCACCCAAGGTGTTCTCTCGAGGCACCCCTATTTCCAAGGTACAGCTATCTGGATATGATTTCTGCCCAACCATGCTCTAGGCAGATCCAGGCCTGGGTTCTCTTCCCCGCTTACCTGTCAGCGCTGAGAATGGGGCTGCTGGTGGAGAGGGGGCTGGGGGAGACAAAGGAGCCTCCCAGGGTCCCGTTCCTCAGGGGCGTCTCATGGCCATAGGCCTGGGCAGCTGGGGCGCTAAAGCTCTTGGGCTCGGGGTCCTGAGCTCGGGGTCCAGCCACTGCTGTCCTCACCACCGACTCCACATAGCTCCGGGGCTCTGAAAGGGGCAGAAGAGAGACTGAGATCCACGGGGGCAGAATGCAGACCCCTCCCAACCTGCCAGGGAATTCCCCAGCCTGTGGGGACAGCCCCAAAAAGACAGCCAAGCATGCAAAGGGCACTTCTGGGGTTCCATCAGCCGGCCCATGCCTACCCAACTTCCCAGTATCTTGGAGAAGCTGTGAGAGCCCCCACAGAACCCCACAGAAGCTTCCCAGAAATGGACCCCGGCTTTGCCTCTGAACACAGTTATCATAGAATCTTCCCCCCTATAGTTAAGCACGCCTTTTAGCTGCTTCCTCCCTCCTAGGTGCCCCCTGGCATGGCTAGAGTCTGCTCCGGCCCAGCCTTGCCCATGTTCAGAACAGTGCCAGGCTTCCCGTGGGCTCCACCTACGCCCAGAATCCAGAAACAGGCTTGCTGGCCTAGCAACAGGCCTATGCCCGCGAGACACGCCCAGTCCCTTCCACGCCAAGACACACCCACCCACCGAGCCTGACACACTTAGCATTCCTCTGGAGACTGATATCATTATCCCTCCCTGGTGTTTAGAAGAGCCTAAGAATCTGGGGAGTTGGGGGACAAGGGCCAGAATGGGCATTCTACAGGTGAGGACACTGAGGCCTGGGGCATGTGACATCTGGAAACAGACCGGGAGATCTGATTCCCAGCCAGGATCTGCCTGACCCTTCTCCCAGACCTGTGGGGCCAGGCCTGAAAGACACAGGGAGAAGCAGCAGGACACTCCTGGCTTCTCCTGGGACATGATCAGGGATAGATGATGCTCCCACCACTTCCAAATCCGGCCCCTCCCTGTCTCCCCCAAGTAGGACGTGATCAGAGCACAGCTCATGCACTGAACCCAATGAGGGCATCTGCTGAAACCAGCCTGAGAAAGGGAAGAACCAGAGGGTTTATGCTGCCCTGGGCAGGCCAGGCTCCAGGAACTTTTGCCGGCCAGGGCACGTGGGGGTGGGGTGGGACGTCAGCAAAGGGACAAACAAGCATGGCGTGAGGCAGAGCCAGCCAGCTCCGTGCCGAAGCTGGTGTCCGTATAGGTGGAGCTCAGTGTCGCAAGAGGCCTCCTCCAAAGTCTCCTCAACCAGCCGGGGCCACCCACCCACCTCCCAGAAGCCTCAGGTCCCTTTCCCTCCAAAGGCCTGGATTCTGTGCTGCCCGCATCTGAGGGTTGGAGCCTGGAGACACTGCAGAGACCCTCTGGCCCGGCGCAGGCACACATTTTGTTTTGTAAAAGATTCCACAGTAAATATTTCAGGCCATTTAGGAAATGGTCACTGGTGCAACTAGTCCAGTCTGCTTTTTCAGCAATCACTCATAAACAAAAAAGCAGGGCCGTGTTACAATAAAACTTTCTTTACAAAAACAGGCAGGAAAAAAAAAAAAAAAGGCAGGAGGCCAGAGTTGGCCACAGTTGGCTAACCCCTGACCTCACCCCTCTTCTCGGCCCAGAGAGGTAGAGAGATCTGCCTCAGAACACACAGCCAGTCAGTGGCCACAGTCTCCTGACCCTCAATGCTGGCTCCTGGTGGCCTAGAAAGGGCCCCAGCATCCTGGGGATGCTGAGAACTGGCAGCTACCCAGTCAGCCAGCATGTCGGCCACGACTATTAATAATGATAAAAATAGCAAACAATTACACGAGGAAAGTAGGAGAACGTCAGTAATTGGAGAATGTAAGCAGCTCACCCCATCACACAGCACCAAGGGGCAGAGTTGGCCCAGGAAAGCAGGCAGTCTGGCCTAGAGCCTGCCCCCTCGCCCACGGCACATACGCCAGCCAGCTAAACATCAGGGAGCCAGCTAAACATCAGGGAGCCAGTTTAGTCTTGGGGGACTAGCTGCGTCCTTGCCATGCAACAAGGACCCCATAGAAACATCAGTGGAGACACGATGCCAGGGCTAACTGTCCCCTCCCACCCATCACCATTCTGGGTCACTCCCTGAATACTCCTCCTACCCTTCTAGGCTCTGGGCTTCACCCCCATGCCTGTAACACTCGCCACCCCCCTCCCACAGGGAGACAGTGAGGGCTCCATCTGCTCCCCGGCCACCCCAGGCCATTTGCTGATCTCTATTTGCTGTGCCCCACATACCCCCGGGGCACACAGCGAGGCCCCGACAGGCATCTACCCTACAAGCTAGCAGATGCCTGACTCACCCTCCAGCCCCCCCCCACCCCATGCAGAGATGCATCAGAACTAGGACCTGAGAGGCACACGTTCACTTTTCTCATCCCCTGGAATTCGTGCTGACCCCAGAAGTTCAAGCTACAGCCCCCGTGGGTGATTCCTGAAGTCTGTGGCTTACACCTGTCGATGTCCCCTGTTCCACTGGCCAGCCCGTTCTGCGCCCCTGGAGGCCGTTACCGACCGCATCGCCCAGACCCTCAGGTCCCAGGGCCCCAGAAGGCTTTGGCCTTCAGCCTGTGAAAGAGACTGGCAGGAGATGGGAGAGAGAGTGAGGAGCCAAGGTCAAGGTGCCAACGCCTGCATCCCTCTACTCAAGACCATAGCTCCAGTCAGGGTTCCTCTCCACCAGCTCTCTGCTTTCCCTGAGGTCTGGCGTGGGAATGGCTCCCTCTTCCTGCTCGGGATCACCCAGAGGTGTTCACCATCCATCACTGCTTTACCCAGACCTTTTAAATAGTCCATGAACCTCTCTGTTGTCCCATAGAATAAGCCATCCATTTCCTCCCAGGACCCAGGCCCATACACTGCGTAAATAATACACATTAGCCTACACTCCACCTGTTAAAAAAAAAACAAAAAAACAAAAAAAACTACATGTATCCCTTCCACCAGCAGTAAAACAGATAAAACAGGCCTCACCACCCTGTCCCCTAGTCAGAACAGAGCCACAGCAGGGACCCGTGGACACTGATTCCCAACCCGCCTGCTCGCCGGTACACAAGGCTGTGTCCCCACTCACAGCTCCTGGCCTGAACATGACAGCCTGAGCTCCAGGCCGGGGGCCTGCACATAGTTGGCACAGGGTGGCAGCGGGATGGCAGATCAGAAATTCTGGGCTGTCGGGAAGCCCAGCGTGGTCACATTCGTAAGGCATCAGTGTCATCGGTCCCTTCCCCACGGCCACTGGATTATAAGCCACAGAAGCCAGATGAGAGTTCTGCCTGAACTCAGGGAACAGGACCGCTTCCCCAGGGAGAAGCAGCACCTGCCTTCCTTCCACACGGCAGGAAACAGTCCTCAGGCTCAGAGGCCAACCAGCCTCAGGGCTCTGCTCCCAGGCTTGTAGGATTTCAGTGACCCAGCCCACCCGGCCCTGTCCTCACCTGTTCCCTTCCCTTCCCCAGTCCTGACACACGACCATCCTCGTCTCTGTTCAGCTAGTCCGCTACCATCTGTCTGTCACCCCTTCCTGGCCTGCCAGGCCCACCTGGGGGCAGAGAGGAACAAAGTCCTCTGTTTCTCATGAACCCGGAGCAGGACGGACCTTTGGGAAGTTACTTCCTTTCTGGAGTCCATCTCCAGAACTGTTCAAAACCAATCTTTAGGGCCAAAAACAGTTTCCCCAGTTTCAGACAGTTATATCGAAAACACCTCCTTTTTCTGCTTATTCTTTGGCTTTTTCTCTCTTCCCAACCATAGGACAACATACAACTCGCAGGATCCCCCTTCTTTCAACTCCTGGAGGGGGTGACCTGAGACAGGCTGCTGAAACTTGCTGGGACTCAGCTTCCTCATCTGTACTAGGGGAATGAGAATACTCACCTGCGCAGCCAGGATCCAGTAACAGAGATGGGGAAGCTCCCTCTCATTCTTTCCTGCTCCACCCCACACCAGCATTTCTAAGCAGCCCTCCCGGCGCCTGCCTCTGTCCCGCGGCGCCTGCCTCTGTCCTGGCCACACCCGCTACTGCGTCCCTCAACCCTTCTCTCCCACCCTCTCCTGCTACTTTCCTCCTCTCGTCCAGTCCTGGGGCAGCTGCACCCAAAGGAGTTGGGAAGAGTAGGAGAGGTAGGGCCCGAGGGTGCTTCACATAGAACATTCCAGAACTCAGACTTAACTCTAAGTGGCTGTTGGCTGCTGAGAGTAGAAGGAAGCAGAAGAGTGACTTGGCCCCCCAGACCCAGGGCGCGGTCAGCTCTTCACCCCCACCCTGAGGTGCATTTCCTGCCACTGCACACCCACCCCCAAGGATCTAGTCACCTGGTCATCCGTACAGAATCTAACCTAAAGAAGCTTCCACACCTTCTTTCCCTGTTTCATCTGGGAAGATATTCTTGATGCTGACCTCATGTCTTTACTGCTGCAGGCTTTCTTCCTCTCCTTCCTTCATGGAGGAGAGTGCCCAGTCCCCAGGCCCACTCTTTAGAGGTTGTGCCCAGTGCAGTCACATGGAAAAGGGGGCAGCCTCCACAGATCTGGCATTCGCTCTCAGCCGTGCCCCTGACTGACCATGTTAGGCCTTAGACAAGACATTTAACAGCCCTAAACATCATCTCCTCATTGGTAAAATGGGGTCCCTACCACTTTCTTTTGGATGCATCTGTGATTGCTAAACAAGAAGGTGTGACAATGGTCCTACATAGTCCTACTCCTGCCTGCTGAACCTCATCCGGACCACATTCCCCCTTGCTCCATCCTCTAGCTCCCTCTTACTCTCAGCCTCACTGATTATGCGATTCCTAGGGGGGAAGAAATGCAATCCTCTCCAACCCCAGGGCCTTTGTACATGCTTTTCCTCCAAATGGAATGCTCTTCTCACCTGCCAGTTTCACCAAGTTAATGTCACTCACCCTCACATCTTACTTCTTCAGCCAAAGTCAGGTTCTTGGCTAGAAAGTCTCCTAAACTATATCCCTTCCCTTTGGAGCACTCTCTCAATATGTAATTCCAAGTAATTTAATTCTGGCTTCTGCTCCTACCTATGCTCCATGAGATGAGGAGTCACAGTACTGCTTATCACTACATTCCCAGAGCCTGGCCCAGGGCACAGCACACGGTAGGCACATAAAATACTGAATAAATGAATCAGTGAATAAGACAATGAATGCATGACAAACATTAAGCACAGTGCCTTGACCAGAGCAGGTTCCCTTAAAGTCTGCTCTTCCTCTAGCTGGGTAATCCTGCCTCTGATCATTTTTCCTCACAGGAATCTTTTTCTGAATTTCTCATCAAAGTCTCAGCAGGGAAATCAAGCAACACTTCAGAGGCTCAGCAAAGAATGTGCTTTAGTCTGACCCGGGAGGCGGTACATGAGTCAGGAAAAATGGAACAGGCTGCCCACAGCCTTGCTCCCTGCCACTCTCCTGCCCCACACCCCAGGCCGCAACAGCAATTCCAACCCCACGCTGGAATCCCAGGGCACAGTGCCTAGAGGCAGGAGGAGGGCCTTGAAATAGCCCCTAGATGAGGAGGAGACAGAAGAGTAGGTCCAGTCTGGGTCCTGCTGCCTCCTCACTGTGGCCTTGGGCAGAAGCCCCAGACCCCCAACCCCACAACACAGGCCTCAGCCCCACATCCATGAAAATGATGGGTGTAGCTGAGGAGATCCGCAAGAACCTTCCCCTCCAAACTCTGTGGCTCCAGGACACAGGGAAGAGGGCTGGAGGCCTCGGGGCTGTGAAGGCTGAAAGGCATCTGTGAGGCAAAATGGGCAGGTCTCAGTTCATAACTGCTAATACTCACTTCTCTGAAGCATTGCCCCCAAGCGGGAAACAGAGCATCCAGGGCCTGTCAGCTCCTGGGATAATCTCCCCTCAGACCCTCCCACTAAGAGCATTTGTGGGAAAGAAAGAAAGGAAGGAAGGAAGGAAGGAAGGAAGGAAGGAAGGAAGGAAGGAAGGAAGGAAGGAAGGAAAAAGGAAGGAGGGAGGGAGGGAGGAAGAAAAGCTGATAGAACTTTAAGGAAACCAGGCTGCAGAGAACCAGGACCCAAGTGGGAGGTCAGAACATCTAACACGTCAGAGCTGGAAGGGACCTCAGCCTCCCCCCATCCAAGGCCCCCTGGTGAAGGAGATGGGGACACGGATGCCCAGAGCCACACACAAAAGGCCTAGGCTGGCACCCTCTTCATTTTACCTCATGCTCTGACTTGTCATTTGAATTCTGTCCCTAATAAGTTAAAGGCCTCCAACCCAATCAAGTCCCCTCTCTGCTTTCCTTTCTCTGCTTACATCCCATTCCCTGCTTCACATACAACACAGAGTTCATCTAAATCGAGGGTTAAGCTGAGCCACAAACATGCGAACTCCAGAAAACTATCAAAATTATGTGCATGGGTGTCCCGACTCACTCATGTGGGAGTGGACCCATCACTGTTCTGAGAGCCTCAGAGGAATCCAAGCTCCCAGAAGGACAGACTTCCTACCACCTGTGTTGAGAAGCCCCAAGCACGGGCTTCAAGAAGCCTACTCTTGGCTAAGACTGCTGAGAAGGCCTGCTTTGAGTGACACACATGGAGTGCCCCCAGGCAGCAGAAGAACGTGCGTCCCTTCGCCTGCCGAGGGGGCTGGCAGCACCCCCAGTCAAGCTAGTGGGGGTGCGGCTGTAGGTGGGGGTCGTCACCAGATGGCACCGCCCTGATGCCTGGAGCCGGCTATGCCTGAACCCCAGCCCAGCTTGCCCGTTAGAACTCAGGCAACATCCAGAGTGAGTGACAGCTCATCACGGGGTGGGGGGGGGGGTGGGGAACAGAAGGCTATGTGCCCAGTCATCTGAGACCTGTCAGGAAAGAGAGCTACTCCCGAGCCAGCCCGGGCAAGCTACTCAAGAATGGCCATTCCCAGACCCAGAGAGCAGGAAGCGGCCACACAGCAAAGCCACACTTACCTTTGGGAAGCTCAGTCACCACCTTCCCCTCATCCTCCTCTGAGGGAAGATGAGAGGAGAGGTAGGAGGAAGGAGAGGCAGGAAAGAGAGGCAGGTGAGGAGGAGAGGAAAAGCAGAAAGGAGAGAGAGAGATCGATTAACAGAGATTATTTCCTGAAAGACAATCCGCTGAGAAAAAAGAGGCAAGAAAGCAGGGATGAGACCGGGGCAGAGGAGCCCAGGGTAAGAGGTGAGGTCCACCCTGACACGGCCCTGGGGGCTCGGGACACATAGTCTAAAGAGGGCTTCGGTCTCAGGGACAAGCCCCCCGCCCCCCGCCAGCCCCTACGCCTGGGGTTTGCATCTCAAGCAGAAGTGTGCTGGCTGGTGAGAGGAAGCCCCAGGCCCCTTGTGCTCCCCGGTGACTCAGTGTCCCCGGCCATGCAGACACCTCCAAGGGGGAGGCTGTGCCGGCCGTGTGTCCATGTGGGTCACACATGCGTGTCATTGCCCTCCTACCTGGCTGGATCAGTCTTCTGGCGACTAAGGAAGAAAAGCAAAGTTGGCCCCAAGAGCCCCAGCCCAGCCCTAAAACCAGAGACAACCTTCTGGTCTCAGTCTGCTCAAAATGGCCACTCAGGGACCAGGGCCCTCTACTCTCCCCTTGCCCACAGGGAGGAGGGGAGCTGGGGGATGTGGTGAGGAAGTGGGAGGTGGGAACTGGGGTGTGTGTGTGCACGCACAGGTATATATGTGTGTGTGTGTGTGTGTGTGTGTGTGTGTGTGTGTGTGTGTGTGTACGGGGGGATAGAGCCAGGCTTCTGGCAGGGAGCTAACCAACTCCAAGGAAACTGAGGCCAAGCGTCCAAATCCCCAATTCTGAGCCCCTTTGGAGTGGCACTGACCCTACCTGTCCATGGGCACGAGGTTGCAGAGGGACCCATCCCCCTCAACCCCTGCAGAGAGCCCCCCTCCTCAGGACTGACCGCATTGTGGGCACAAAGCCAGGCTTTCTTGTTTCCAGAGGGTCCTGAGGACCCATCACCTCTGGGCATTTTTTGATGAGATCCCGAGGCTCGGCCCGGGACCACAGGGGTCCTCCAACCCCTACTCCTCCCTCTGGCCTCCCTACCGCCTCCCTTCCAGCTGGAGTCACTCACCACCTGTAGGGTGCAACAGGATGTCCGCTGGATTGTGGGGTTTCAGGCCGAGAGCAGACAGGGGTGTCTTGGCCAGACCTGGAGGGGAGCGCACTGTGCCAAGAAGAAAAGAGGAGACACGGGGAGTGAGCCTGGGGATGAGGGAGGTGTGGGGAGAGGAAAAGGGGGGCAGGAGCGGGGACACCCTTGAGTGAGGACATGTTGGTGAGGGGTGGGCAGCAGGAAGGAGGACAGGGGAGCCGGCCCCAGCCCCAGGGGTTGCTGCCTTGCTCCCACTGCCCTTTCCTGTTTCTGTGTTTCTCCACAGCTCCAAGGGTAGAGTGAAAAAGTCAGCAAATGCCCCTCAAGCCGGCCCTGGCCCTCAACCTAGAGCAAATAACTTCTATCCTGGGGCCCCCAGGGGCATCACTGCAGTCCCCTTACATCGCCATAGCTTACAACATACACACGGCTTTCCTTGGCTATCTCTGACTTCCTCTGGATTATATTCTCTCTTCCCTCATCCTCTTGCTCCCCCAACACACACACAAGTCTTTCTACACCATGCACTTGGGTGGGCTTAGAGAACAAAAGGAAACGGGAAAACAAGAAGGCACATCCTATAAAGGACAGAGGGAATAAGGGATCACAGGGGGAGCCCTGCCAACCCTGAGACCCCTGGGTAGCCCTCAGCTGGAGGTCTTTGACCCCCAGCCAACCATGCCACTTGTAAACCCCAGGAAGAGAGAATTTCTCAGTGTAGGGCTCTCTGTACTCCCAAAATCTCGGTGTTCCTCTGGCAAGAGCACCAACTCCCTGTGCAAACCCCAGGGCCCTTCCAAGCTGCCTGGCTGGGCTAGAGGTGTCATGGAACACGCAAGGTCAGAAAGGGCTGTCCAACCTTGTCCCACCAGCCAAGGACATGGCTGGACTCCGAGCTGAACGGCAGGGTGGTTGGTATGCCCAGTCACACGATTTCTCGGGGGGAACTGCCATGTCTCCTATCACGGCTGCTGGGAGCATGCAGAGGCCACCGGCCCTGAGGACAGGCAGCCACACAGGTCAGCCAGAGCCCAAGCCTGCCTGCCACACACCAAAGGTGCCAACAAATGAGCTGTAGCCCTTGGGTGCCTGGTCCCCACACGGCAGCCCCAGGACCCTCCTGGACTTCTCCTTTCCCCAAAAGACAGAGAGACCCACTGGAAACAAAAACATACAGTCTCTCACTATAAGCAACATACATAGCTTCTCCGTGCACATGTGGGTGTATACACAGTTACACACAGAAATAGTGAGAAATCACAGGGCTCTAGATGGGGCAGACTGCGTCCGAACACCGTCCTCAGATGCCCAGTGGACATAACACAGCAGAGGGGACAAATGTGTACAAATGCACACATCCCAATAACAAGGTAAGGCAAAGCTTGCATGTCTCTATCCCTCCCTCTCCTTACACACACACACACACACACACACACACACCCCACACACAAAGATTCAGTTTCTGCCCCCCTCCCGCACCCCTGCCCATTACTAAAAATGGCGTCTTGCAACAGACCCTTATTGATGTTTGTCAAATGAATGAATCTGAATGTAATTAACCATGGAGGAATGAGCCCAGCCTCAGAGACCACAGTCCCTTGAACACCTGTGGAGCATCTCCAGCCCACAGGCGAGCATGTGTTGGTAAAGGAGGTGCTGCAGAGGCACAGGGCGACCACTGAGACAAGACGAAGAGGACAAGAGGCAGGGGGAGGTTTCTCTCGGTTCCACCTCCAGCTCCTCCAGCTCCCTAGTTGCTCGTGCCCCCGTCCCCCGGCATCAGGCTCTTCTGCTGAAGCAGACGAGTGGGCGGCCCCAAAGCCAGGCAAGGTTTTTGCTTCCCAAGAGAGGAATTCCTTGCATTTCTCCGCCTCTGTCCTCTCTCCCAACCCTGTGCACTGATGAAACCTCTGACTTATTCTCCCTGCTGGGGCAGCAGGGCTGGCCAGGGCAGCGAGTGAAGAACGGGAACAGACACATATGACAAAACCTAAGCCTCACGCCACCCGGATGGCTTCCATCCCACATGGGGTGATGCCCAAGATCCTGGCTGACTGGACCAACAGCGAATAAAAGCATGCAGGAGGGTGGAGGGTTAAGACCACCCTCAGGAAGGAGAGCGATTCTAGGGAGTCACAAAAGGCCACGGAATTGCCTCTTGGGTAGCCTGCCCTGGGCGCGCACTGTCCAGGATGGCAGGCAGGTCGGTGACGGCTGTACAGCCAATCTGAATTGAGATCCGCTCCAGGTGTAACACACACTGGGTCTCAAACACTTGGTAGGAAACACGAATGCGATGTATCTCTTTATATTGATTCCATGTTGAAATTATAATATCATAGATCTTTCGAATTCCTTAAAACCTGTTAAAAGTAATTTCACCAGCCTCTTTTCACATTAAAAGAAAAAAAAAAGATTGAGCACTGGGCGTTAGAGGCGACTGATGAATCATTGAACACGACATCTGAAACTAATGATGAGGTACGATGTGTTGGCTGATTGACTCTCAATAAAAATTTTTTTAACCTGGTGATTCACAGACCTGTACTCCTGGGGATAAAAATATATTATATGTTTATAAAAAATAAAATTTTTAAAAAAAGTCAAAAAAAAATTTTTTTTAAAGTTTGTAAGATACCTCATTAATATTTTTATCTTGATCTATCTATTGAAATGATAATGTTTTAGACAGTTGGGGTTAAACAAAAAAATATTAAAGTTTACTTCTCCAGTTTTCTATGATGTTTTTCAATGCAGACATTAGAAAATGCTCCATCACAAACGTGACTTGGGCTGGATTTCCACTGGGCCACGCTGCCCTAGGGAGGATCATGGCTTCCACTCCCAGCTTTGGCTTCCTGTGTGCCCCAGACAGCAGCCCACACAAGGTCCTCAGCCCAGGGCACACTCTCCCCTCAGGACAGCCAGGCCTCGGGAGAACATACTGCCAGCTCTGGTCTCCGTCCTCAACCTCCAACCCTTCCTGGTCTCTCCTTCCTTGGTTGCCCCAGGCCTGCCACAGGGACCCTGAGTCCTTCTCAGGCATGTTCTATCGCTGTCATTCCACGGCTACCCCACTTCCAGCTCCCCCTGTCTCATCTACCATAAGGTACACGACCCCAGCCCTGCACTCATCCAGATCTTCTCTTTGGATGGAAAGGCCTCTGCCCATCAGGGCTTTGCCTCTCCCGTGAGTGCATCACAGGCTAGAGACTGAATATTCCTGCCCGGACACTGTGGACAGATGAGCTGGGGACTCCTTTCTTCCCCTGATGAAAACTTAGTAGACTGAGTGAAATGGAAGAGGTGCCCGGATATAGATAGAAATGGGGCTCAGGAGCAAGGAGATCAAGGGGTACAGAAGACCAGAGATACACAGCAGGTCACAGAGAGTCACTTTAGGATGGGAGGGTGGAGTTTTGCACACAAGATGCAAAACCTCTCAATGATTAGGAAAATTCTGGACTTTGGGAGGCCAGAGACCCCACAGAAGGTCAGTAGGATCCCGATGTGGAGGGGTGGCTGTTGCACCCCCACATGCGTGCGTGTGGACAATGGAAGGAAGGGGAGTCGGACAGGGATGGTGAAGTGAAACGAGCCATCTGGACCCAGAGTGACAGATCTCAGCCCTGCCCTCTGTCAGCATCTCCCCCCAAACCCGAGGTGCTTACTCAGGCCAGGGCTGAGAGAGAGCCTTGCGGGGACCCAGGGAAGACAGGCTTAGTGAGGAGCTCTTACCCCCACTGGACGGTGGGCTGGTCGGGGAGGTTCCCTCCATCTCCTCAAAGGCCTCCTTGTAGCTGTGCAGATGGGGCTGCGGGAGAAGAAGAGGGGAGGTGGGAGGGGATGCCCACTGGTGGCTGTGACCCTGAAGAGCACAGGTTTCCCAGGTAACAAGCCCACATGTCCCCTTGCCAGCCCTACCACCCACCCGTCCCCGAGGAACCACAAAGTCCAAAGGGAGATCCTGGCCATTCATGGCCCACCCCCCAACCCCAACTCCTTTGTCACTGAGAGAATGAGAAGTTCTATTTGCAAAGCCATGATCCAGCACGGGTGGAAATCAGGAACACTTGCCTTGGAAATATTCCGCAACAGAGACAAAGAGAATGGGGCTGGGGATGGGGGACTCAGGTCCTGCCAGAAGGCAGCAGAGAAAAGATGTCCAAAAACCATTTTTAGCCAGAATGACTCGCTAGCCTGGATTTTCTGGGACATGGGTCACTCATATCAGAATCTTCCAGCATGGATGTTTAAAACGCCTATTCCTAGGCCCTGCCCCAGATCTAATATGCTGGGATCTCTGGAGGTGGACTTGGGAATTAACATTTTTATCAAGCTCCCTGGTGGTTGTTTTGCTCTTTGAAGTGTGAAAGCTACTGCCTCCCATGACAGACAGACATTTTGGCATTGAAATTAGATCTCCCAAGGAAACCCCACACCTAGAAAGAATTCAAAACCACTCTTGTCAGTCTATAGGGTCTGGCTGGGAGCTTAGAGACTGTGGTCATCTGTGTCATACCCTTACCATCCTACTAAACAGCACTCTTTAGGAATCAAGGAGGGAACTTTGATCTCAGTGTTAATCTAAAAAGTGGGAGCATATAAGCTATTTAGGGAGGAAATGCCAGATTCCATGTGCCAGAGAAGAGATACGGGGTGAGGACTGAGTTTCCTGATAGGGCAGGGCCACGCAGGTGACACTGTGACTCCTAGACCATTGAGGCGGGCTCCACTCCTATCTCTCTGGCCACAGGATGCAGCCCAAGGACTCACCTCTTTGGGTCGCCCTCCAGGATTGAGGGCAATGGTGAGAGCCAGCTCAGGGGAGACGCACTGGACAGGGGAACGAACCCCAGGGCTACGGGGGGACGCGGGTTCTGGAGACTGGTTCTCATACTGTCCATCGCTGGCTGCCCGCCTCCGGAGAGGGGCAGGGGGCTCTGCAGGCTGCTTCTCCCGAGCCTGCACCCCTGCAAGGAATGCGGGGCAGAGGGGGGAATGAGGATTGTAGACGAGAAAGGATCGATCAGGCCCAGTTCCCCAGAGAAGGAGGTGTGTCTCAGCCAGGGTCCACGCTGGAGCTGGGCCTGTCTCACCTCCGGACTCCCCACTGCCTCCCTCTGCCCACACCCCAGGCTTCCTCTGCAGGGTGGGGGATCCACTGAGGTGGGGCTGGCCTTCCCCAGGATTCTCCACCCTGCACAGGATTGGGACCCAAAGCACAAAGGGCTGATACAAGAAACAGATGTCAATGCCTTTCAAACCCTGGAGGCCGAGGGCCAGGGTTTCCAGGCAAGTGAGGGAAGGTGGGGAGAGGAGAGACCGTCTCCAAGGTGACTGCATCAACCAACAAGCAACATCAGGCCCGCAGGGAAGAACTTGGGAGAGTGCAAATAATGCATCATCTCGCAGATGGTGCTCCCGAGAAGAAACAAAGAAATGACTAAGCCTTGTCATGAAGTCCCCAGCCCCAGCTGGACCCTAGAATATTGCTGGCCTTCTCTGGGGTTCCCCAGCCTTCCTCCCGTGCACCTCTGAAAAACTTTACCAACCGCCTTTATGTTGGCCTCTCGTCTACCCTCCCCTCGTTGTGCCCCAAAGATGGTCCAGCTTCCCGCCCCGCCGCTCCCCTCCCCTCCCCTCCCCTCCGAGCAGCAGGCCAAGGGCCTGAAGTCATGCGCTCCATCTGCCTTTCTGCATTCCCTTCCATTCCCCAGGCCGTGGCAGGCTGTTAGCCTCACCCGCCTTCCTTCCTACTCTGTCTCCCCGAAGCTGGGCTGAGCCTCACTGAGCCGGCACCAGAATCCTAGAAAACATACTCCCCACGGCCCAGAAGCCAAGACCCAGCCTGAGGACAGGCTTCTTGTCTTCGTGATCTTGCGCGAGGACATCCGCAGCTCTGCCTTCACCACACCCCCCGCAGGGGTAGGTTAAGCGAGGGGAAGTTCTGGGCTGCACCAGAAGACACATGGGACCCTGGCTGCGCCGGCCTTGTGGCCGACACATCGGGGAGCCCTGTCCCGTGGCACTCTGCGCACACACACACACCACTGGTCCCCCCAGGATGTGCCTGTGAGGCCCATTCCAGACTGAATAGCCTGCCCTCCATGGTGGGGTCTGCGTGTCCCCTGCTCCGGCTCCTGGCACAGCCGCTAAGGCTGCCATGAAAATCCCAGGCTGGGAAGCCTTCTGACCTGTCACGAACAGCAGGCTGCCGACGCCAGACGAGGGGTGGACACACACTCGCTCACGCGCACACGCACACACAGTCCCTCGGAGACACGCACTCATCCGATCACATAGCCGGGGGCCCCATCCGGATTGCGGCAGGACTGCTGTAGTATCTACAAGGCAGACGGACCCAGGGGGCTGTGGGAGGAGGTTTCAGGCCTCCTCTCGGGACTCTCTACAACCCAGGGCAGCCTGCCTGCTGTCTCAACCGAGAGAAAAGAGCCCTGAACGGGACAGTGAACCAGTCTCACAAACTGCTTGACTTAAAGCAAATAAGCCCTCCTCTTAGAGTGCCCTGATTTTCCAAATAGGAAAATGGGAGGTCACTGATCCAATAGTTAGGACCAGGATAGGACCATCAAGCCAGATTAAAGACGCAGCAGGCTCTCCCAGGGCTGGCAGCTCCTGGGACCCCAGGCCGCAGCCACCCCAGGCTCCCAGCCATCAGAGAGGGGGCTGCCCTGAGCACCACACCACGTTTGCAGGGGCTTCCTGCCTTCGCCCCACTTTTCCCACCTCCACCGAGTCCCTGCCTCCTGGGCGGCCTGGTCCAGAGCTGCCGTGTGTTTCATTCCTGGCAAAAACATTAGAAAGAAACAGACATAACCATTGATTTTCTAATAATAATTGTGACAAAGGAGGCCCATTTGGGAAAGGCTCTGGGGGTTTGGAGCTAAGTTCAGCTCCAAGGTTAAAAGAAATGCATTAGGGCTGGTTTCAGTTCCGGCTCACCCAGCCCAGCAGCCTCTTTCTGGCAGATCCTTGTGCCTTTGCAAGGGGTGGCCGGGTTCCCTGGTTGGGGATCTGATGTCTGCCCTTGAAAAGTGGGTCTGTTTCCATTCGAGGCCCTAAATCTCCCCGAGGGACAGAGAAAAGGCTCTCTGGTTTGCCCTCCACGGTCAGGAGCTGAGCTGGCTGTAGCCGCCCAGAGAAGGGGCCAGACCACCCGAGAGGGGCTTCTCAACGGCGGAGGAAGTGAGATCCTGGTATAGTCAGCTATCTGAAAATGACCACACCTCCTCAAGTCCCGTGGCAGGGGGAGGGATAGACAGGACGACCCCCAAAAAGCTGGACTCTGCAGAAGGGGAAGACCCCACATTCCACTCCCACGGAGATGGCCCCTCCCCCTGCAGCGTGCCCCATGGCACCAGTGGCCAGTCAGAGCCTCTCACATTCTCTGAACACAGTATCTCACTGTTGTTCCCTTTGGCAGGCCCAGATATGCCCCAGAGTGCTGGAGAGCCATGTCCCCTCTCTCTTGTCCTTCTCTACAGGAGGGGAGACAGGGCATGGCAGAGGGGGGGAAGAGAGCTCTATTGTTCCTCAGCCAAGCTGGGACAGCTGGACACAAGCTAACAGCCAGTGTCACAGAGAGAACACCCCTCCCTCATGTCCCAGAGACTGACCGATGCTAAAAATAGATTTAGTCCCTGCCACACACCTCCACACCACCACCCTCAACCCCAGGACTTTCTCGGTCACTTGGCCTGGTTCCCTGTCTCTGTCGAGGCCTCTGTGTCCACATGCTCCACTCCCTACACGCGTGCACACACACACACACACACACTCTGACCTCTGCAGCCCTAGCACACACCCAAACAACCACTTTGGCAAAGCACAGGTGCCCCGAGTCCTATAGACAAACGCCTGGAGTCAGGTTTCATCACACGCCGCCCCTATCCCCCCCTGGCCCCCGGACTGGCCACGGCCACCCCCGCAGACCCAGCTCTTCTTTCCAGCCTTCCGATTTCCAAAAGCCTGGATTCCTCAGCTCCAGGCGACGGGCCTGGGTGTCCAACAGCATGCCTGGGGCTCCGAAAGCCAGGGTCTCCGGGAGGCCACCTGCTGGGCCAGGGCACCAGAAAGCCACACGGCGATCACACTAGCAGCCCCAGGGCAAGCCATGCCAGCTCCCTTCAGGACGGGCCCACTGTCCCAGATCTGCCCCCAACGCCCAGGTTCAACTCAACACTGCGCTCCCCACCACTAGGCCGAGAAAGGGTGAAGGGAGGGGAGAGGAAGCGGACAGGGGGCATTCTGCTAGAGCCATCTCCCCATTTTCCATGGACTGGGAAGAGGAGGGTCTAGGCAAACACCAGATATTGCCATTAGGAGTCAAAAATCCCCACTACACCTATGCCTTTTCCTGGAAATGCTCAAGGCCATGACCTGGGGGGAACCTGAGCACAGCCTATCTCTCCCCTGGGCCTCCAGGCTTGGAGGGGCAGGGAAAATGATGGGGCAACTCCCTCCCCAGAGCTAACAGCCTATGGGCAGATGCTAGTGGGCATCACCCTCCATGCGGGGTACGCCATATTGGGGCATGTCAAGCCACCATGCAAAATACACATGGTGGGCTATGATGACTCCCTTTTCCCTTTCCCTCTGAGTAACTAAGAGACTTGCCCAGGGTCACAGAGGTAGTCACTGGCAGAGCCCAGACCACGCCCAGGGCTTCTGACTCTTGGACATGGGTCCTGTGGTCAGAGATTCGGGATGAGGGCAGAGGGGGAGCCATGTCCCCAGAGGACCATGCTCAAGAGTAGACAGAACAGCAGGTGCCAGGACGCCACTCTTTGTCGTGAGCCTGGTGACCCATGCAAAGCACAGCCTGGCTCCTGCTGAGACCCTGGCCCAGCAGCCTGGGTGGTCTGGCCAGGGTGGCTGGAGGGCTGGACTGTCCCCACCCTCACTGAGCACGCTTACTGCAAAGGCATGTGTGTCCGTGGGGAGCCTGAAAGCTCATCTAGTCAACCTAGACCCTGTTCCTAGCATGTAAGGCCAAAGCCAAAAGCATCAGGCCTGTGTCCATGCAGAAGTGGGAGCACTCGCTCATGCAGAAAGGAGGGGGAGAGAGTCTTGAGAGAGGCAGGAGGGAGAAGTAGGCTGTGGCCGGGGGGGGTTGTAAGGAAGTGGGGGGGGTGGCAAAGAGTTGGAAAGAAGAGAACAGAAGGAGGAGGAAGAAAGGTAAGGGGGATGGAAAAAAATGAACCAGGATGAGAGCGGGCAAAGGTTAGAAGAAGTAGTCCATGAGAAAGAGGGGAAGAGAAGCTGAGAGCTACAATGAGGGCCAGAGACTGGTAAGGGGGAAGGGGTGGAGGGGAACCAACCGGAGAGGGAGGAAGATCGGAGCCGGTGGAGAGGACGCAGCTGGAAGCCGGTGTGTCCCATGCCCTGCAGCTTGGCGTTGTATGCTGCCCACCCCGACCCCGGGGAGCCGGCAGGGAGGGAGGCAAGCGGGAAGAGAAGGCCGGGGGCAGGGAGGGGATGACACCAGGCAAGGGAGGCACCACGCCCATGGCACAGAGGACAGATGGACACAGGACACACGGAGAACGCAAGGGACAAGGCATTAAACAAGACAAAACAAAACAGAAACAAAGAGAAAATCAAGATTAGTTGGTGTTCTGAGTCTGGGATCTGGCCACACGCTTAGAGGGAGGTGGGAGGGTGTCAGAGAAGAAGAGAGGGTGAATCCAGGGTCTTGCTTCCCCAGTGGGCAGGTGGACCTCCTGCTGTCCCTCAGGATGCCACATCTCTCACTTTTCTAACCCCAGCATGGGGCAAGCAGGTGCTGGCCCAGGACCAGGCGAGCAATCCTATTGCCCCACAACTCACCTGTCCTCACAGTCAGCACGGCCCCATCCCGGGACCTGTGTCCTCTCGTGGTCACCTGCCTCTTCTGGACCCAGCTGTGACCCTACCAGCCTGAGCCCAAGGGCCACAGTCCCTAGCATCCCAGCATCCCCCTGCCCTTCATCCTTCCCTCACCCCCACCTTTGTAACCCTCTTCCCTGGAGTCCCTTCCACTTCTACTCCTGCCCAAGGCTGCTGGGCACCACCAGAAAGTCCTTAAAATGAGCCCATCCTGATGCACTATGAAGACCTGCTACACCCTCCTTTTATCCACATTCACTGACTCCCTGTCCCCACGGGGGCTGCACAGGAAACCCTGCTCCCTCCCCAACGCACTGCCTCACAAGCTAATCCACACCAGCTTCTTGGCCACTTCCCTCTCATGCCTCCAACTGCCAAATGCAGGAGGCTCTGGGACTCAGCCCTGGGACCTCTGCTGCACGTGTGTTCCCTCCAAGTGCACCCACACGTGCCATACTTCACATGACACCATACACTGGCAACCTTACGTCCCGGCATCACGATGCCCACATTTCTAAGTTCCAACCTCTCCCCATGGCAGTTTCAAGGGCATCTCTCAACTATCATAGCCAAAATCACACTGCCAACATTCCCTCCAAGTCTGCTCTTCCCACATCCTTAACCCATCTCAGCAAGGAGCAACTCCATCCTTTAGTTGCTCAGGTCCAAAAACCCTAGACCTGTCCTTGACTTTTCTTGTTCATTTCCCACATCTAGCCTTGATGGCTCCGCCTCCCAGACTGTCTACAGCCTAAGCACTTCTCACCATCTCCACAGCCACCGCTCTGATCAAAGCAGCAGCTGCCTCACTGTCTACCTCCCTTCCATCCTGGCCACACTGATCCTTTTAGAATGAGTCAGATGACATCACTGCTGTGCACACAGCACACAGAGTAAAAACCCAAGTTCTTAGAATCACCTATAAGGCCCCCTGCAAGCTGGCCTCCAGGCCCATTACCTCTTTGACTTCGAGCCCTACTCCACACCTCACATCAGGTACACCCCGACTCAGGGCCTTTGCACTTGCTGTTCCATCTGTACGTCCCCTCACTGCCCAGGGTAGCCTTCCCTGATCCTATGTCAAGTGCAACCACCTACCCACTCTCAACTCCTCACTGACACTTTCCTGCTTCATTTTATCTCTGTGCCACTTACCACCCATCTGACAGATTATATATGTATTCGCTTATGTGTTTATTGTCCATCTCCCCCATGAAGGCAAGGGTTTTTACCTCTTTTGTTTACCACCATTTTTCCAGACCCTAGACTAACACAGATGAGGAATGCATGCTGAATGAATGACTGAATGGACCTGGATGTAATCTCCTCTTTCCATGATGAAATGTAAAAGTTGGGTTCTCAATTTGAGGTCCCAAAGCTTGACACATATATTTCCCTGTATCTGTATTCATCCTTCACTCTTACTCCACAAGGAGGTATCTCACTTCCTCGTTGAGCCTTAATCATCCACCTGGGCTCCTAGGCCTATATCCCCTCGTCCTTCCTTACTGATCTTATTCTGGCAACTTCTTTCTCTTCCATCTTTTTCTTCTTTCTATTCCCTCCATATTCAACTTCTGCTTCTCCTCTAAAATCATTCTCATGGCTTCTATATTTAGAGGGGAAAAAAAAAAAAGGCTCTCCATATCTTCCTGCACTCTTCAGCTACCATTCTCTTTGCTTTTATCATACAACCACTCAAAAGAACAGTGGGCATCCTGGCTGCACTGCCTCTCTGCACTCACCCCTCAATCCTGCCGTCTGCTTTCTGCCACCACTGCTCTACTGAAAATGTCTTTTGAAAATCCCTGGGGCCACCTAACTGGAAAGCTCAGTGAATTTTCCCCAGTCTTCCTCCTCATGATCTCTCCAGTGACATTGTGAACCCCCCACCCCCACTCCTGGAAATCCTTTTCTGTCTTGACTTCTGTGGTGACCCACTGTCCCTGTCTTCTCTCACTGTCCTGAACGTTTCTTCTCAGCCCCCTTCCCCTCCATTCCCCTCATAGCCATTTCATCCTAAGTTCTTTTCTCTCCATGCCCTCTGACATAGAGATCTCATTCATGGCCAGTGCTTTAACCCATGTCTTTGTGAGGATGACTCCAAATTCTATAGTTTTTTCTATTTTTTCAGGCTCCAATTCCAGATGTTTAGCTGCTTACCATACATGTCTATGTACAGGCTCTACCGTCACCTCAAACTCAACATAAGGAACACTGATGTCTTCATCTTATATGAAATCTGCTCCTCCTAACTCCTGGCTTATTAATGGAACTAGCATTCTGTTCCTATTCATGGAGCCTCAGAATCCTCTTTGAGGTCTTCCTCTCCTTCACCCTTACACCCAATCAGTTTGTAAGTACATTGGCTCTACTCTTATAGTATCCTTGGCACCCATCTCTTCTTTTTCATCTCCATGGTCAGCACCCTAATACAATCGCCTGACCCAGTCTACTTAATAAACAATGACATCTCCCAACTCAGAGTCTCTCCTATTTTGCATTCCTCCTGCCCAGATCCACCAGATATGTCTCCCTAAATTACAGCTCTAATCATGGCATACTCCCAACTAAAACATGGCCGCAGCTTCCTACATTGCCACTAGATAAGATTCAAGCTCTTTAGTCTGGTATTTTATGACCACCCAGAGGCAGGTCCCAGGCTACCTTCCTTGACTCTCTCTCACTGCCAATATGCTCTCAATCTACTATATTCGTCAAACACTTATGCTTTCCTGTGTTCTTTAAGAACCCTGTCCCTCCCATGACCCCATCCACTTCCAAACTCCTATTCCTCTCCCAAGGCTCTTATTTAAAACTCACACTCAACATGCTCCTTAATCTCTTCCACTGATACTGATCTTTCCTTTTTCTTTACTCCCACAGAACTTTCTCCATATCTCACTACTGGGAATGACTTCATTTTAAAGTTCAAGTTCTTTCTCCCCTTACTAAACTCTAGACTCCTTAAAGATAAGATGCACATCTGATCGCCAACATGCACAGAAATCTCTACCTCTAGAGACATCTGAGATCAGTCCAGTCACAGACTCAGGATCATAAGATAACATGGACTTAACAACTCTGGCTCCTATTTCTTTTTCTTGTCTTATTGCACTGGGTAAGATAGCAAATACAATGTTAAGTGATAGTGGTGATAACAGGCATACTTATTTTGTCCCTGGTGTACAGGAATGCTTCTAATGTTTCACAAGAAAGTGTGACATATGCTACAGATTCCTGGTACCTACTGTTTATCAAGTTAAGAAAACTACCCCTATATTCCCTGAGATCTAAGCTGAAATAAGAGATAAGGAGTCATTGGATCAAAATGGAATGAACCAGGGATCTAGTATTGAGGTATGGAGGAGGTACTGAGCCAAAGAAGAAAAGGCAGACCTGCAGGAGAAAAGCCAGGAGAAACCAGATCAAGTTCATGGCCATTAAGGGGTTCTCCTTCAGATCTGAGCTTCCTGGGTTACATGCTGAAGCTTATGTTCGAGCTTCTTGCAGAAGAACGTAGAAGCAGCAGGAAGAAGTGGTACTGGCCTGTTGCCTGACTCCCAGGTTGTTGTACACAACGATCCTGCTTTGCACCTCTGCTTACACAAGTACTGCAGACACGCTGCAGGGTTACTGAGGAATTTGTGCAAACAGGATCTGCTGACCTAAGAAATACTTTCATGACAGAGCACGGACCAAAGAGGCCCCTTTATAGTCCTTGGGACCAAATATATCTGTCCCCTCTCTACATCTAATCCTTTCTCCTGACTGATTCACTCACAGTTGGGGGAGAAGATGATAGCAGGGTTGGGGACAGAGACATTGTACCAACATCTCTCCTTCCCTATGGCTCCTTGGCAGCCAAAGCCTAAGCAACTAAGGATATAGAAGCTGATAGTCAAGACTTCAGAAGTTGGTAGGAGAGAAAAGGCTGAGGGGAGATGCACATTAAGATGGGCATCCTTCTGGAGCTATTGAGATATGGCTTCCTTTACAGCCAGCTCCAGGAGAGCAATACAGGAGGATTTTCTGGTAGGGAGAGCAAATTCACTCTGCTTCCCCAGAGAATCTGTCCATCATTAGGTTAGAGTGTTACTATTCCCCAGGCTACCTCAACTCTATAAAGTAGTAAGAGGGCCCCATTCCTCTCCCTTGAATAAAACCTCTGACAAAGAAGCCAAGGGTCCTTCTCTCAGGAGCTCAGAGGTGGGAAAAAGCAGAAAATGGCAGCCCCATGTGGACCACACCACAAAGCCTTTCTCCTCTAGAGTTAGAGAGCTACTCATCCTGGGTTTTGACATTCAGTTAAAAGCAATGATGTGCTTCTGGACCAGCTCTCCAGGCGAGGTGAAACCCTGATGGCCAATTTCCATGCCATAAATACTTTCATCAGAGCCAATCTGAAGTTACTGAGAGTGGAACTAGGGACCGTGCTCTGCTCCGAAGTACAGCAGGACATCCCTGCCCCCACACCAGGTCCTGGACCCAGCCCAACAGCCAGCCAGCCTGCCCTCAGCTGCTTCCCCAAACCCAATGTCCATCCCCAGGGAGGGGTCTCCCTCTCACCCTGCAGCTGGTATAATGACTCAGCTTCCCTACATTTAGGGGGAGGGGTGGAGGGCAGAGTCAGCTGCCCAGGCTCCTCTTCTCCTCCCTGAGCTTCCACCACCCTGTCCACTGAGGGGCTTGGCAAAAAGTCCCCTAGCCCCCATCTCTAGCCCACCTCTGCCTGGCATGACCTCCACAGTTAAACAAACCCACAGGATTTCCCACTGAGTGTGGCTGCCCCCATGGAATGGTCATGGCCTTAGGCCAGCAAGAAAGGAAGAGAGCCCTTCCCGTCCCTCCAAGCATGGCCCTGCAACACTCTGCCATTTCTTATCTAGATCTCCCCAATAAGCTCTCTGGTCGCCCCATCCCCTCTCCTGCCTCCAGAAATGAAGCCCATTCTCCAAAAGGAAATGGAGCTATGTTTCTCAGCACCTGCTGCTCATACACAGCACATCCAAAAGCAAGCACTAACAGGAGATTTGAACAAGAAGGGGAACCTTGGCCTCCCCACCAAAATGAGACATACCTGGAAGGGACCCACCAGGGATGAGCACTCAGAGCCCTGGCCTTAAGGACACTCTCTTTTCTCTGTTATGCCTCTGGGAGGGCCCAAGGGGGAAACTGAGTCTATAGAAGCCTCCCTCCCTCCAGGCTTCTCCATACCTTCCCCCAGGAACTGAAGCCTGAGGACAGCAGGCAGTTGCAGAGAGCTTCTTCTCTTTGCCTAGAAAATCTGCACTCTAGCCCCAAAGTTACCACTTCCAAGAAGCTTTCCCTGATTGCTCCAGGTGGTAAGCCTTGCTTTCCCTCCAGCCCCGGGGGTTTGGTCCCCACCCCTGTCAGAGTACAGCTTACGCTCCTGTGTACCTGTCCCTTTACTGTAAGACACTGATCTTTGAATCTCAATGCCTGCCTTAGAGCCTAATGGACGAGGAACGCAGGCAGGGATGGCGAGCATGTGACAGCCTCTTCCCCAGTCAAAGCAGCACCCGCCATGGGGTGACGGCTACCCTTGTTCCTCCCCCAGCAAGATCATCCAAGACCAAAGAGGGCGGGCATGGATGGAGTAGGAAAGGAGTCCCACGGCTCTTACCTGCTACCCGGTGGGCTACCAGCCCCTCCAGGTTCAGTGGCTCCTCGTCTGGAGTGCGGGATGGGTCTGAAGTTGCCTCCTTTGGTGAGAACTGAGGCTGAGCGGGAAGGCCAGAGAGAGAGACTGGGGGCTGCTGAGGCCCTGGAGGGCTCTGGGTGGTTGGAAGGAAGGCGGACGAGGAGGAGGAGGCTGGGCTTTTTGGACGGAAGCTCTGGCTGGACCCAGCAGGACATGGTTGATAATCATAAGGTGAGTATGGCCTGCCAGAAGGGAAGGACTCCAGGGCCAGGGAGGACCGTGGGGCTGGCTCAGGGGTTCCCAAGGAATGCCCACTGGGGATGTAGCCAGACCTGGACTGGGTCAGGGGATGGGGCTGGCAGGGGGAGCCAGAGAGAGGCTGGGAGGACAGCGGGGAAGCGCCCGGCCAGGCCCCCGGCACGCTCTGGGACTTGTGCAAGGGGGCGGCTGCCGCCGCGGGCTCCAAATCCAGCATCAGCATGTTCAGTGCTTCGATGGACTGCTCGATCTCCTGCTGGGAGGCCGCCCTTGGGAACTCAGGGAGGCCGGGGGTGGGGGTCTCTGCCAGCGGCTGAGGGCTGGGCCTGCTGTGCCCGAGACTCTCCAGGTGGGCTCTCTCCTGCTGGCGAGGAGGGGGACGAGGCTGCTGCTGCTGCTGCTGCTGCTGCTGCCAGGAATTCAGACCCCTCTGCACAGCCTCCCGGCTGCTGCCACTGCGGGCTGGAGCTGGGGGCAGCTGGGGCTCGCTCTCCGGAAAGGACTGGGAGCGGAACATACCACTGGGGTCAAGGCCATAGTGGGAGGTGGGTACTGGCTGTGGCCAGGCTGGGTGGGGCCCCTCCCGCTGGTAGCCGGCTAAACCCTCCTGTGCCGAGTAGGAGGGCCGCACAGGGGCAGGGTGGCCGACATGGGCAGGCGCCGCCCGGCTGGCAGACTCATAGGGGTAGCCCCCGCCATTGACCATCGGTTCTCCTGGGAAAGACTTGTCCAGACCGTTGGTCAGTGAGGACAGGGCCTCTGGGTAGCCCCCCTCACTGGTGTTGGTGACCCCGTCCAGGGAGGAGAGTGTGCCCATGCTGCCCACGCTGTGCCCATCCTGGTTGGGCAACTCATCATCCAGGATGTCTGTCTCCCGCTCGGATGCCAAGGTCCCGCCGTTGACGTGAACCTGGGCTGGGACGACATGGCGGCCAGCGGCGGGTGCAGCTGGGCCCCCTGCGGGGCGGGACCGGAGATGCTGCGTGTGGTACATGGGAGCTGGCTTCTCTCTCTCAACACCGAAGCCACTGAGCAGGCGGTCCAGCTCGCGCTTCTCCTCAGGACTCAGGGCAGCGGGGGCGCTGGAGGGGCCGGGGGCTGGCTCATCGGTCTTGTCTGTCTTGGTGGAGGCTGTGGAGTTGCCTGAGTCGCTGCTCACGGAGAGGGTGTGCTCCACGTGGTTGGGGGTGGCCGACAGGGCAGGGCGCACGGCGTTGACGGCCCCAGTGCTGCCATGCAGGGAGTCCTTCTTCTTCACCTTGGCATACAGGCTCCCATCCAGAGGCCCCTGAGTGTGTCCCACCACTTCTGCAAGACAGCCGGAGGTCAAACGACAGGTGTCAGTGAAAGGCTGGCACACCCTCTCATCTCCCCGAGGGAGGGAGGGAAGAGCTGCCATTCCCCGAGTCCTAAAATCTCCTTGCACCACTCAAGACAGAGCTGAGGTCAGGGATGTGAGGGACAAGGACAAAAGGACCCCTACCCAGGCTGTTGGGCCCTAACACCCAGCTCCAGGGCTGTGAAGCCTAAGTGGGCGGGAAAGGGGAGCCTGGGAGCAAGGGGCCCCAGTCCAAAGCCTGGCCCTGGCATTTCACCAGCCTCCCAAGGACCTGGAAATACTGGGTCAAGATGGGGCTCCGCAAAGCCAGCAGTCCCTGCATCAGAGGTGACATGCCTTCACTCAGAGTGCTGGGCTCCTGGGATTCTGGAAAGAGGATCCAGAGAGCAGGGGGGCAGGGGAAGCATCTTAGGGATCCAGAACACAAAAGGAGATGGTTCTCCTCAAGGAGGGGTGTCCCCTGTGTCATTTTGTCTGGGGACCCCATGAGCAATACTTTCTCTGAAAGGAAATAGTGAGTGCTGGGTGGCTCAGGGCCAGAGGTCTGACTCAGGAACAAAGAACGTCCCCACCCAGAGGGACTCAGTGATTTCACACCCTGTACAGTCAGCAGCCCAGCTTCCAGCCCTGACACACACACACACACACACACACACACACACACACACGCCCCTCCCCTCCCTTTACTCCCAAGGCAGGCCCTCAGTTGGCAAGAAAAGAAAGCACCCCCCCCCAAATACGGCAAAGTCCAGCCAGACACCAAGAGTCACACGCACACACCATCCACACACAGGAAAACCAGACACAAAGACGTCCTGAGACACACACGCCAGCTGGTAATCACCCAAGTCAAACACCCACAATTCACCCAAACTGAACCCTTGGTGCACTCTCGGGGTACGCTAGGTAGGTGCCCCCGAGGCACTTTACACAAACTTCATTTCCAGTCCCACGAGTCAGGGAGTATCATGCCTGTTTCAGGAACAGGAGAAAGTGAGATTCACAGAAGTGAAGCCATTTACCTACAGAAATACGGTATCTGGTAAAGATGAGATTTAAAATCAGAACTAATTTAAGATTTAATTAAAATAAAACTAAATTAAAGGCAAAACTAATTTAAAATCGGAACTTCAAAAACCATCCCATTTTTATTATTTCACACCATCCGTCGTATAACACACACACAGAGTAAATGAAACACGTAAAAGGCAACAATACCCCAAAATAAATACTTAAATCTAAAGCCACAATCATTTCAGAAAATACAAGCGCCTACCATGCCCAAGGATCAGCCCTCAGGCCAGAAGTGGCAGCCTCTAAAAATAAACACTCGTACAGGAGCCCACAGCCAAAAACAAGGGATCAGACAACCACAAAACAGGAACATCGTGATCAACAGACACACACACAAACCACAGGCCGACCAAATGACGTCACCGGCAGCAAGCGCAGCGGTGCCCAACGAGGCACAGCGTCCACACACACCCCCCAGGGGCTGGATGCTCTCTGCCCATTCACCTAACTCTCCAGACCCATCTCTCTGTCCCCTGTTTTCCCCAGGGCTTTGGGACTTGGCCAGCAGCAGGTCCCAAGGGACACTGGGCCAGGGTGTGGCCGCAGCCCCGGACTTCAGGGGCTGGGGCTTGTCGGGATCGGGAATGGGTCTGAATCTGGTCCGTGTGCTGGGGCCCCCAAGGGCTGCTGAGATCAACTGGCCTGTCCTCGCCTCTGAAGGTGTCAAAGCTACTGAAGGAGAGAGGCTGCCTGCATGCCGGGTTCTTCCAAAGAACTGGACTCCTACCACACAAAGAGAGAGACCCCAGCTAACAGCTTCCATGGGGGGAAGCGTCGAAGACAAGAGCTCTGCTCCACTCAGATTTCTGGGCGTGGTTCCCAGGAAGGGGGGCCCCTTAGACCAGTCAGTGGGAGGCCGAAGAGCTGTCCTTCCTTCCCACTGGAAAGTGGCTGGCCCCAGAGAAGGCACGCTCACACTGCAAAGCCAGCAAGCTCCTCCAGCCCCGGCAACCCCTAACCTTCCCAGTTCATGCTCATATGGTCTGGGAAGCGGGGGTAACAACAGCAAAGCAAAGGGTAGAGTGTCCATCTCCCTGTTTACACCTGGGGGCAATGAGAACCACTGGGTACAAACTAGGGTAAACCAAAAACTATTGTTTCCTTCAGGGAGAAAGGAGACCCACTCCCGCATCTCACTTGGGTTCATAAAAGAGCTTTTGGCAAGAGAGCTATGAAAGCATCCCCTGGGGGAGACAGGGAGGAAGAATTCACACTGACTACCAGTACCTGATATCTTGCCCCTTTGGGCCCCTTCACTGATTGCGACAACATCAATATTAAACCTATTCTGCCATGTAATTCACCCCCACACGGACCACTCTTTGCAGCAACATCAGGAACAGTAATTGCCAGGCCACGGAGGCGGAGTTAGAAAATCGAAGAAGTGCAGATTGTTTAACTAAATCTTTTCCGCACGATACAAATGGAAATGTCTACTGCTGTCCTCCAAGAAGGAGCCGGCTGCTCCTGACCACTGAGCGCCTGCCCCACGCTCCAGGCTGTCCTACACCTTCACTGGTCTCCGTCTTCCCATCCAGAGGGGGCTGTGAGGACAGCCAGGCCCGTCCTGGGTCTGTCTAGCCCCCGGGAGGGCTCCGCTGAAAGCCCAGTGTATTGGCATGACCCCAGCATGGCAGGTTGCCCTGTTCCTCCCGTCGAGATGAGCGCCGCGCCCCCCCCCGCCACCCCCCATACCGGTACACACATGCTCGTCCTTCCCTTCTGCCTGCCACTGCGGCCACATTAAGTGCTACTTAGCAGGACCACAAGAAGCCGGAACACATTGTCGGTTTCACTCTGTTAAGGCAGGAAGAGCAAGAGAGAGAGGCAGGCAGAACAAGGAAAGAAAGAGCCAGAGGAGAGGGTGGGGGAAGATGGCTTTGGGGCTCTCAAGCTGGGGGGTCACGAGATCCGACTCAGTCCCAGCAGCCTCCGGGGGCACGGCCAGCTCAGGCAAATCCTCTCGGGTGAGAGGGCACTGGACACCCAATGTGGCAGGGAGCAGGGGACAGAGGAGGAACCTGCCAGACCAGGGCCATCGGTAGCGGCACAGGTCACCATGGAGGAGAAGGACAGACAGCAGGGGTAACACAGGTTGCAGGCAGCCCAGAGTGGGGAGCTCCCAGGCCTGCAGGTCAGCCAGCCGGAACGTCCTGTCTTGTGGGCCATCTCCCTGGCTGCTCCTCTAGGGAAGCCGAGACGCCCACAGTCCCTTCAAGGCCCCATTGGCTTTGTCTGAATATGTCTCCTGGCTCCCCCAGCAGCTGCCCAAGCCCCAGCCCCACCCTCGACATCGAGCTTGATTGCACCAAGAGGCCCTTCTTCCACGGCGGCCATAATCCAGATGTGCGAGTCATACTTTTGGAAAGCTCTGAGGAAAATCCCCAGCTGACTTGGACATGGACCTACTCCTAGGCTCCCTCCAGCAAGCCACAGAGGTGTGTGTGGTGCTAGAAGCCCAGTCCAGGCCAGGAGGCAGGGAAGGAGAGACATGTACTACCTGCACACTGCAAAGAGAACGGAAGGACTATGGGAGGCAAAGGTGACCCGGGTTTAGGACAGTTGTTTTCCAACTTCGAGGTTCATAAGAATCTGCTCCAGAGATTACTAAAAATGGAGATGCTGGGGTCCCGCCCCCAAAGACTCACTTATAGGCCTGGGGCAAGGCCAAAAAGTAGTATTTTAACTCTCCCAAGGCTCTGGGGCTCACACAGGTGGACGATATCTTGCGAAACGTTGACCCCAAAAGTCAGCCCTTTGGACTCTGAAAAGAAGGATCCCCACTTCTCTTACTAACGTCTAGCAGAGAAAGTCTACTTATTTAGTGATCAGGAGAGATGATGGCCCAACCATGGAAAATAAAAGGCTCGAACCTGGTCAGCTCTAAGAAAGAAGTTTCCTCTGGTAGTCAGCAAGCTGCGACCCCACCTCGTCCAACCGGTAGGCTGGTTTTGAACAGTGAGTGACTTACTAAGGTTTTCAGGCTGGGGCCCTTCAGGATAAAAATTCCTTTGGGTCCATGTCCAGCTGAATAGCAATACATTAAAATATACTACCCAGAGCAGAGTGACCAACCAATGAGGAGGAAAATCAAAGCATGCCAGTAGGAAGAGGCAACATGCCCACCCTGGATAGCAGTAGTTTGGAGGTAGACCAGGGCCCGGCACACCCAAAGGGAATCTCAGATCCTTCAACAGGGAGTGGGGCATCAAAGGCCGTGAGCGAGCATCTAGGAAGTAGGTGACCTTTGACAAGGGCTGAGGCTTGGCCAAGAAGCAAGCTCTGGACATGTGAACCGGAAATTTCATCACAGACTCTCCCTCGGCCATGGAGGGAGCCAGGTGGGGCTACTGAGGGACAGCATGTGGGAGCCAGAGGATGGGGCTGGGTACCAGGGAGGCCCCAGGGATGTGGTTCTGGAGAAAAGACAGAGGAGAAGCGCCCCTTCAACTCCACCGTTGTGCCAGATACAACCGTTACTCAGAAGGACGGTCCCCATCTTAATGTCAAGTCACTTGCCTCTGCCACTTAACCACACAGAGCCTGGCTTCCAAGCCTGGGGGTTGAAGATTCAGATGCTTACCTGCAGGTTTGCTGAGTGACAGGACTCAGGGGCTAAGTACCTGAAGCTAGGCATGGCACATCCTGGCATGCTATGTTCTCCTCTTTCCCTCCTGTTTCACATGTTTTAACAGCTCCCAACACCCACCCATTAAAGCCCAAACCCCCCTCCAGTGATGGACAAGCCATACCTTTTATCATCCAGCCCCCATTTGTCTTTTGAAGCCTCACCTTCACTGTCCCCAATACCCCCAACACCCTTCACTCCTCTTACTATGCTTTTCCTACTCTGGGCTTCCCATCTGCTATTCCCTCTCCTGAAAGATCCTTCTTC